AACATTAATGGACACTGTTCCTTTCTCCTATGTACACCAAACCCTTATCTACAGCTACTGTTCTGTTCATATATCAACCCTGCAATATATCCAAAACCGAGTGCATCTCCTTTCTCAACAATATCCATCTCTAAACTGCCTAGGCTTGAGGCCCCAGAGTTGTTTTTTTCTTGTCTCTTCAGGCCCTGTCATGTTTTTGAGTCATGATCTCTTCTCTATTTATTCTGTTTTTGTGGCCTCAGCACCCTTGGTCCAATAGTCACCACTTCATGGATGTGATATCCCACATGGTGTATCTAGATACCTTCTCATTCCTCTGCAAAACAGGTCTAACTATTTTTTTTGTTTTGTTTTGTTTTGTTGTTGTTGTTTTTTTATGGGAATACACAGTAAGGGAGGAATCTCAGTTGACCCAACACAGAAATGGTCTTTTGTTCCTTCTGCTAAGATTGTGTCTGCTCTTAAAGCTGCAGGTCAAATATCAACTCTACTGTCAAGTTGCTTTTTCTCCCTTAGTGTAAATAACACATGGATCCTCACACACTATATTTCTCCCACAGCTCTGGTCTCTTCTGCCTCATACTAGAATCCCTTGTGTGCCGTCTCCTCCATATGAGAATAAGGACTGCTTTGTAGTCATCGAAGGCACTTCCAGCACCTACATGTTTTATGACAAGGATCCGGCAGTTGATTTCCTCCTGTCCCGTACGTATAGATTTTAAACACAAATTAGGTTTTTTTTTTAAATGCCAATTTTATGGCCATGAACTGAAACTTGCATTAACATGCCTTTTAGTCCTTCCTCTATATTGCAAGGATGGATGTTAAAGTACCAAATTAAACCAGTAAAACCCCAACCCTGACATACACTGCTAGACATGTCTCTCATCTCTAACGATCAGTTGTCGTTATTCTATGCTTGCTCACTGGAATCCAGAGTTTTTTGTTTTGTTTTTTTGCTATTCTTCACCCTGTGATATGAATTAAAATCTCAAGTAAAGTACCAAGATGAAGTCCCTGAACAGAACACATTCAGTTTCACAGCAGCGCCTGAATGTAGCAGGCCAAAGGTTCCAGGCCGCAATGTGTGTAGGCGGTAAATCCATCCTCTCCCCTTCTCTACAGCCATGCTTGCCCATAAAATAAAAATGTTTGCTTTCTCAAAAATACCGTTCTCCCTACTCTGCTCATTGCTCCTCCCCATTGGGGAAAGAATGACAACTACTACCCTCCTTGGGACAGATGGAACATTACAGTGTGCTGGGCGTGTATGTCCTGACTCCTCAATTCTCCTTTGATCTTGTCTTTTAAAGCTGCTTGTGAACAGACCCCAGGCAGTCTCTCTGCCCCACATGGTTAACCCACAAACATGAGGACAAAGAGCTTTTCTCTTCCCTGCTCACTTGTTAAGCTCAATTCAAGCAGGGAAAAGCAGGAAGTTTTCCAGTAGAAATGCAGCTGATATTTTTAATATCTTCCTCTTCAAACAATTCCCGGTTAACCCAGCACTCAAAGGAGAGAGGGCTATGATTAATCCCACGTGCACATGGGTAATTCTCAAGTGTGTGAATTGAAGAAATGAGTAGCTGGAGAGTATACATTTGTACCTGTTGCCTCTTTAAGAATATAAAGAGGTAATTTTCAAGACTATTTATGAACATTTAAAACAGAACTTTCTTGTACTTAACATGGCACCTGGACAGCAATCGCTGACTCAGCCTCTCCCTGCTTTCCATAAAGTATAAATGAAGACATGGAAAATGAAAATTCTTAACCCTGAGATCTAACACTGGCAATCCAATGCAAGCCATGTGAGGGGGGATTTCCTTCAACTACTGTGAAGCTGAACTGTGAACCAATGTTAGGACCAAAGTTGCAGAATATAAAATCCACACATGCAAATTAGTTGCATTTCTATGCACTAACCACATAGGCCTTTAAAAATGTAAGTCAGTTCTTTCCACTCCTCTGCTCAACCCTCCAATGTCTCCCTACCCCATTCAGAGAAACAGCCAAGTTCACTAATGGCCTGCTGACCTGTGCCCTCCCATCCCCATATCTCCTCCCATCCTCTCTCACTCATTCCATTTCAACCCCCTGATTGCTTCTTGAACACACCAAATATTCTCCTACCTCAAGATGTTTGCACTTTCTGTTCCCTATGTCTCCAATGCTTCCCCCTCAAATATTTGGAAGGTTTGCTTCAGGCTTTGGCTCAAATGGGAGAGAGGCTGTCTCAGAAAGAACCGCCAATCTTCCAGGACCAGCACTTGTGGGTCCTCCTTGCCCTGACCATCTGTTCTTCAGTGCCTCATCTCAAAATGCGTGTTACACTTTCCTTATAATGTTTTCGTGTTTCTTCGAACCAGAAATCTAAGCCCAATCAGAGCCCAGACCTTGTATTTATTTGCTGTTGTATTTGTAGTGCCTAAAACTGTGCCTGGCATGTAAAGTTTGACTAAAAAACATCAAGGACTGCATGGCTCCTTGTTCCCAGCTGAAGGCACACACACACATGGGCGTAGTTAAAGGTACTGTGGAACCAGTGTCTTAGAAGAGAATCTCCAAACGCTGTTTCAACAATTTTTACTAACAAAAGTATTACCCACTAAGCAAGATAATGTGAGAAACAAGAGGGAAAAAATCAACGTACAGAAAAGAAAAACCAGAAAGAAAAGATTAAAAGACAGATGAAGAGGAGTAACAATCAGAAAAGATACTGGATTAAAAAAAAACAAAAAACTAAAATCAGGTAAGAATTAGAGCTTGCACTACAGGTTGGAACAAGCACATGAACAAGACAGATATGGCAGCAGTGGTTTGCTAATTTATTTCACTATTGAATGAATATATATAGCATACTGAAGGCAAAGGAAATTGCCTAGGCAATGGAACTTCATTTTGGTGAATGTGAAGAGAGATGGACAAGCCCATGTGCTGCTCATGAGAATCTAAGCTACTAGCACCTTTCGGGAAACCACTTTGGCAATGTGTGTATGGCAGCCTTAGAATGCATAATCTCTGAGCCAATAATCTCATAGCTATTAAAATAATACAAAGAAATAGATATGGTCATAGAGGGCCTATTATAAAATTTATATTAGAAATATTTATACATATATATAACTATATTATATATATTAAAATGTTAAATACTAGAAACAAGTGAGATGTATACAGTAGAGAAATTATCAACTAAATATTAATAGCACCAAACAATGGAACACTATGCAACCATTAATCAAGATAAATAGAAATGATTTCAAGAACATGGAAAAATTCACAATAGAATGTTAAGAACACAGGATAAATTACAAAGAATGAGTTCAAACACAGAGCTCTCTTCTTTGGAGTTTGGAGTTGAGAATAATTAACATTTTAAAAAATATGTTTTTACTGATTTTTTAGAAAGAGAGGAAGGGAGAGAGAGATAGAAACATTGATGTGAGAGAGAAACAGTGATCAGCTGCCTCCTGCACGCCCCCTTCCAGGGATCGAGCCTGCAACCCGGGCATGTGCCCTGACTGGGAATCCAACCAGGACTCTCAGTGAGTGGGACGACACTCAACCCCCTGAGCTACACTGGCTGAGTGAGAACTATATTCTCTATGCTTTAGGACATTTGATAATTTTCATCAATAAACACATTTATTACTTCAATAATCAGAAATAATGAATACTAAACAAAAATAAAAATGAACTAAATTTTTCATTTTCTCCCACATTAGAGCTCCATATATATAGTTCTAACTATTTCAATACAGTGGAATTATCCATTCCATTTTCATGATGATAATGGATTCTAGCAAGTTTATATTTTTTCTTAAAGCATGCTTTAGTTTTTTATTCTTGCATTTCCACTTCAGATTTCTGGAACATTAGAGATACTAATTATTTTACTGTATAAATTTTCTAAACTCACTGTTATATTCTCCTTTTATCACTCAGAAAGCAAAAGAATAAAGATTTTATGCAAACAATCCAACAATTCACCATTCACTTCACCGCTTACCATAAAAAGGTATTGCACTGAAAAACAACTTTCCAGCAAAACTAAAGTTCCTTGTTCAGTTTTTTCAATAAAAACAATACCAAGAGTGTGGTGATAGTTTCAGAGGTATACACATATGCCAAAACTTGTCACATTGTACGGTTTTAAATATGTGCAGTTTATTATGTCAACTCATACCTCAGTAAAGATGCTAAATAAAAAATAATATCAAGAAAAGCCACATACTGGAATATAACTAAAATGCTTGGAAGGTAGACACACACACACACACACACATACACACACACACACACACAAACAAAGAACCACTCCTTAAATGCATCAGCAATTTTATTTACAAATGTAGTTGAACAGAAAGTCTCACTAGTCTCTGGAGAAAATTTCTGGTATACAAACTATAATGATTTTTCATGAATGAAAAGCAGCAGCTCTCTATTGGGAACCGGTTAGCAACAATTCTGAAGAAAACAGAGCTCCCCTCATCAAGCAAATAAGATGTTATATAAGCTAATTTTTTTCAAATCATAATATATCATTGAAAAGAAGGATACAGAAAGCAAATTTGGGGGGTGAATTTTTAGTGACATTTCCATATGGTTCTGTATTAATTTAGCTTACATTACAATAAACAGAGCAAATGCAATTATATATTTATATTAACTATTTCAAATAATATTTCAGAACCTTAAAAAAAAAACCAAAAACAATAAAATAACCCTCTTCAAAACACCACTGATCATTATCAGCCTCAAAAATATTTTAAAGTTCTTTTTCCCCTTGTTCTTTTAAGATGCTCAACTCAGAAAGTAAATACTGCACTTTCCCCCACACATAATCACTTCCTTATAAATAAACAATAAAAATACAGGTTCTACCAAGACTACACTGCTGTGATGTAATCTACAGAAGCCAAAAAAAAAAAAAAAGGTGTTAATCTTTTTTTAAAAAAACAATAGAGAAAAAAAGACATACAACATATATTTATAGATCTACATCAGCAGCAACCAACTCTTCTTCTATCTGCAACAGTGCTTTCGTGTGGAGGCTTACATCACATGGCGGTTGGCCGTCCAGCTGATCAGGCAAGGAGAGAAGAAAGAAAAGCGCTTAGATTCAGGAACTCAGGAACATTGCCATTTGGGATGCATAGCAGTGATCACTCAGAATGGCCCCATGAGGTAGAAAGAGTCACCTTGTCACTCACTTAGGATAAAGCTAGGCAGATCACTGCCTCTGGGTACTAGAAGTCATTGTCTGCAAAAATGGAGTAAAAATTAACTGCTGATATAGAAGTAAATTACACTCAACTCTCTTTTATTTGTATTGGAGAAGAGAAAAGGCATGGGCAATTTTTCCGTGACGATTCCAAAAATAAAATAAAATGAATTCTCTTTGGCTTTGAGATTTGACTGAAGAGAGAAAAGCACACACACATATACACACTCCCCCGTTACACACCCAGCCTTGACATTCTCCAACCTCAGGGGCAGCAACCAGAAAAGGACTGGACCGCGGGGGTCAGAAGACTCAGACCCCACTGACAGATAAAAGAGAGTTGAGTGGGCTTAAACCATTTCCAAAGCACTCTTCACAGAAAGGGCCATATAAATACCTCTGAGTTCAAAAGCAAAGGGTTTTGCTGATACCACTTGTAACACCCTTTCACAATAAGGAAGAAACACATGTTACCAGCATCAAGGTTCAAATATAAACAGCAGCAATGGTTGTCTTTATGTAGCTATACACAATAGGCAATCTAATTATGCTAGTCTAGATTTCATAACACACTTACAAATGAAAACATATTAGACACAAAATAGCATGTGAAGTTTTTTAAAAACTCAATTTTCCCCAAAATGACGGTGAAATACCATATAATCAGAATTAATGCTCTCTTTGTCAAAATGTATGTATTGCCATATGATTATATAGTAACAAAGCATAAACTGACTATTCTTTACACCCTTTGAAACCACAGTTTTTAAAGTTGATCATATTCTAAATCACATCCTCAGAGCCCATTGTTAAATAACAGAAATCAGCTAATGATGAGGGAACAATCTCAGCCAAGAAACAGATTCCAGTCTATACCAAAAATTCATTTCAACTGTCTGTTTCGGTTTGTTCTGATCCTCAGGTCATTAGCAGTTTCTCCAGACTCTGAGCAGACTGCACAGGACGCCATCCTGACTCGGGCACACAGCCCTCTCCAGTTCCTCAGCCCCACAACCCACCCCTGTGTGGCTAGAATCCCAAGCTCTGACCCCCTCACTGTACCCCTAAAACCTGGAGTTCTAGGGCAGGGAGCTGGAGGGGGAGGGGGCTGCAGATTCAGGGAAATGCATGGGGATTCGTGGTTTCCTTAAAAGACAAGAAATTTTCTCCTTGATTTGCTCTCTTACATTTGAATCTGAGATAGCAGTTGTTGCAGTACAGTTGGTTGTTTCTGATTCTGACTTCGGTTCCTGAGGAAGAGCCTCCGAGGTCACACTCACAGGCAACACACTGGAGGACAAAAAAAAAAAAAAAATTCACACTCAGTGAGTTGAAGAAAGGTTGGGGCACTCCTAGAAAAAAACAAGTGAGCAAAATGCAGCTTGTAAGCATTTAGATGTTTCAGGAAAAAAAAAAAAAAAAAGCCAAAATATAATTAGTAGATTAAAATCAAGCCTGCCAGATGAGATGTTAAAGAATTCATAAAGCCAATTTTAAGAGCCAAGATGATCATTCTAAATATATCAAGAGTAGAAATGATTTGCTGTCTTAAAGAGATTTAGTCTTCACTTCTCTCAGGGGAATGAGAGGAAAAAGCACCATGTGAAAGAACTGGCGAGGTGGGTAGGACACTGGGTTTCTGGGGTAGGACATGCCCAGTGTCCCCACTGCACCGGCTTGGCAAGTGTTTTCACATGGCTCTTTCACTTCAAGGCTGGGTACTTTGGTTCCATGGCTCAAACACTAATAATTTTGACTCATTCTGCTATACCTAGAAACAGCCCAAGCCAGCTCTATACAAGCCGAAACAAGCTGTGGTCTGTGGGACTCCAGGATCAACAACCGGAATCACTCTCTGGTCCAACACAGGTTCAGGAATCCAATAGATGTGTCTCTAAAGCCAGTTACTGTAAAATAGTTAACAGCCTTGGTTCTTTGTTAGGTGCAAGAAACCATCAAGTGCAAGCAGGCTGTGCAACTGTAAAAATATTTACAATGGCTTTCCTCACACTCTCCCTATTCAAAGCCAGGTTTTTAGACAATTTTATAATTGCACAGCCCATCCCCATGCTGTTAATGACATTAGTAAGTGACATTTCGAACATGCCTATGACCACATGATAGAGAACGCATCTATGCACTGCAAATTGTACGCATAGAATCCTAACACATTGGAGATGGGAAGTGCACAGCATTTCCACGTTTAATTTTTGAAAAGAGGTTCAAGATTGGAGTATTAAGTAGTAGCAAGCCATCTGAAATTCCAAGTGCAGCACAGACTGACAAAGAACAGCAGCACCTCGCTCGTTCATGGCACGTCCACACCCAGCGCGCAAAAAAGCCATGCGCTCTCCCAGCAAAGCTGTGCGGGCCTGCAGAAGCTGTTTATCTTGGTCTCACCTTGAAACAATACAAATGATAACAAAGACCCAGGGACTCGATGATCATGGCGGCGCCTTTGCCCAGAATGTTATGACAGTAGGAGCACACGCGCTTCCCACTGACTGACCTAGACGCAGAACGAGAATGGGATGGAGGCTTTTGTCTGAGCAGCTCAAGGTTATTATTTTAAAAATCACACTCTGGCGTTAACGTTAACGATTGAGGAGAGTCTATATCTGTGGGAGGAAAAGTTTCGCCAGCCAACTAAAATATGCCTTCATTTAATTGTACCTTGAAGGATTTCCATGATGGTTCTGAACCCCTGGACACCTATGCAATAAACGGACAATTTCGGTGTCATTAGTCCACTCTGCCCTTCAAGCACCCCCTCTTCCAAAGCACAACTCTAACCATGTCATTTCACCCATCAGAACACCAAGACAGCAGCCCCAACTTCACTGGGGCTTTGTATGCTACCACCCCAAACTTGTTTCCCCACCCTCTTTCCCATTCGCCCAACATTCTACTTAAACAGAAGTAGCAGTGTTTTCCTGACGGTGCCTCTGCAGGGCTGCCTCTGCAGAGAACGAAACGAAAACAGCCTGGCAGCTACCATTTAGATAGGTAAGGAGAGTTTCCCCTTCCCCTTGGAGACGAGTCTCATCTTCCCTCCGAGGTGGGAAGGGGCCGGCCACTTCTTACCTTTGCATCCCACAGTTCGAACACGGCACTTGGGTGGCACTGAAAAGCACTCGTGTTACAGTACCAACTCCGAGAGAGAAACCTTTTCAGGGCACAAAGCCTGACCCGTCTCCCACGTGTTCTCCTAGGGTGGGGCTCTCAGGAAACGGGCATTCCCTCCTCTGCTTTGTCTCTCCCACCAAGGCCTTCCTCTTCCTCCACAATTTACCATAAATTCTCACTCCGTCTTCTCTTCATTCAAACTCCCTGACACACACTTTATAGATCCTGATACAAGTAAAACGTTTTAGATGAATATCAAATAAATTCTCTTTGAACAAAATCCCTTATTTGATGGCTTAAAAAAAATCCCAGTATCAACCATTGTGTTCCTACTCTCAGTTTTCCTTTGCAGGAGAAGCAGTGTACGAGGGAAGAACGCCCCTCGGGCAGCAGGAACGCCGCAGGGCATGGCTTCGTGAAGCCTCAAGATCTGCGGAGAAGCTGCGTGGATCTAATCACCCCACACATGCTGCTCGCTCAGCTTCCCTCCATATCAAAAGGCAAGCTTTGAACCAAGATCTACTATTATGACTCTTACACGATTCCCATGGCATCTGACCCGCAGAATCGGTTGATGTAGTCTGAAGGAAATGTCAGCAAACCAGATGAGAGACGAGCAATAGTTTTGGGAATCAAAAACCCAAGTGGCGATAGCTAACTACTTAACTTTTTTTTTTTATCCAGCTGGTTAAAAGTTCCACAGATAATGGAGGTTGGTTATAGTGCTTTCCTTTTATACTCAATTTCTATAAAATGAGTTTGTATTGTCTCATTAAAACAGTCAACCATGTGCCCTGGCCAGTTTGGCTCAGCGGTTAGAGCGTCGGCCTGCGGTCCGGAGAGACCCGGGTTCGGTTCCCGCTAAGGGCACGTACTTCGGTTGCAGTTTGTCCCCGGCCCTGGTTGGTCGTGCGGGTGGCAGCCACTCGATGTGTCCCTTCACGTCGATGTTTCTCTCTCTCTCTCCCTCCCACTCTATCTGTACAAAAAATGGAAAAATATCCTCGGGTGAGGATAAAAAAAAATTAAAAAAAAAAAACAAAAAAAAAAACAAAAAAAAAAACAGTCAACCATGTGCCCTGGCCGGTTTAGCTCGGCAGTTAGAGCGTCAGCCCACAGACCAGAGTCCCGGGTTTGGTTCCTGCTAAGGGCACGTACCTCGGTTGCAGTTTGTTCCCAGCCCCGGTTGGGGTCATGTAGGTGGCAACCAGTCAATGTGTCTCTCTCACATCAATGTTGCTCCCTTTCTCTTCCTCCCTCTTTCCCTCCTGCTCTAACTGAAGATAACTGCAAAAATGTCCTTGGGTGAGGATTAAAAAAAAAAGTCAACCATTTTACAATACTGCTTTTACTTATAAACTTGAAATGCCTTCATAGGTTACTGTATGTTTGTACAATTCAATATTGAGAACTATTCAGGTACATCCAGTGTCTAAGACTGACCACAGCACCAGCCAATGAGACAGCGGCAAGATGCTGGTGTCTCAAAGGTCACCAGTGGCTTCACAAGTTATCCATAAATGCTCTTAGAAAGCTCTTAAGAAAGCTCTCTGAAGTGATCTGATAATAGAACACTGAATGGGACACATTCAAAAAGGCTTGAGGCAATTTTAATGAAAAAAATACCCCTGAGCCTGGCTGCTGTGGCTCAGTGGTTGAGCGTTGACCCAGGCACCAAGAGGTCGCCAGTGCAATTCCCGTTCAGGGCACATGCCCGGGTTGTGGGCCCGATCCCCAGTGGGGGCATGAAGGAGGAGCCAATTGAAGGTCTCTCTCATCAATGTCTCTATCTCTTTCCCTCTCCCTTCCTCTCTCTCTAAAATCAATTAAAAAAAAATTATTAAAAAAAAAAAATACCCCTGAAACAAAGAAAAGGAGAAACCCAAAAGGCCTCACCTGTTGCGTGGCTGGGAGCCCGGGGGTGAAGCTGCAGGGAAATGGCTGCGTGGAGTGGGGGAAGGTGCGGAGGTGGGCTTCCCAGCGCCGGCAGAAGGAGGGGGTATGCTGGAGGACGGGTTCCGCATGTAGGCGCGGTTCGATGTGGACACCAGCTGCGGTGGGGGGCGGCTGAAGTCTTGGACGGAGGAAGAAGCATAGACCCCTGTAGACTGACTGAGCCAAGGGGACTGTCTCCAGGAACTGGATCTTGGGGACTCCAGGTTATCTAGAGATTCACCTCTGAAACATAGAAAGGATTCATCAAGATTATATAACACATTCAACTAGAACTCTATTTAACATTGCAGTCATTAAAACATCAATTTTAATATATTTGAAGCCCTGGCCAGTTTGGCTCAGCAGTTGAGTGTCGGCCTGTGGACCAGACACTCCCGGGTTTGGTTTCCACTAGGGGCACATACCACAAAAAAAAAAAAAAAAGTTATTCAGTTGCAGTTTGTCCCTGGCCCTGGTTGGTCGTGCGGGCGGCAGCCACTCGATGTGTCCCTTTCATGTCGATGTTTCTCTCTCTCTTTGTTCCTCTCTCTCCCTCCCACTCTGCCTGAACAAAAAATGGAAAAATGTCCTCGGGTGAGGATAATACATACATATATATATATATATATATTTGGTAAGCAGGTATTAATCTAATAAGTCCAATTACATATAAAATTACCTCTAAAACTAAAGTTTCTTCTCATCAGAGGCAACATGATGTTTCATGTTCAATTAATCTTCGTGTATTTCTACTTTTATTTACTGGGTGCTTAGGTTAACGAATAAATGTCAAAGTGGAAAGGAAAATACTAAGAAAAATATTTTTTAAATAAAATTCTAAGACAAAAACCACATATATGTGTCCTTTAACTCTTTCCTTGTTTAGACATATCAATCTTCACTTTTAAAAACTAATAAAAAATAGCTTTTTAAACATGTACATATGTCAGGTATTAGACTAAACACTGTTACACAAAACATTAATTTAATCTTCACAACTCTCTGTACAATTACTTATATACATATTTTTAGATCTCACGGAAGTTACCTTGTCCGTAGGACAAAGAGCTGGCCAGCGGTGGACTGGCTCTCGAACTGAAGTCCCCCGATTCCTAAGGAACCCAGGCCAGTTCTGCTGCGCACCCCTCATCCACTCACCACCCCACAGTCATGCAAGTACAACCTTTGGAAATCTCTCTTAAATGAAGTTATTACTTACATTAATTCTGATCTACAAAGTATGACTCGAAATTATGACGATATTTTTCTACCTGGTCAGTTTCGTGATTACTTTTAAAACTTTTTCTCATCTCAAATTTGAAATATATATTATTTCTTTTGAAACTATAGAAGTAGTACATCATCATGATGAGAAAGACCCAGGCAGTAAAAAAGGAGCAATAAGGTTTTCCCCTCTCTCACTTACCACAATGTATAATCCCTAGAAGTTACTATTATTAAATATGTATCCTTCTAGACTTTTTCTCACATATGTACATATACATACAAGTTTACATATGTAAGTATAGCAATGCCCGTATACATCTGTAATATGTTGTGATGTGTGTAACATTAGTCTACAATGCATATTCCCCATAACTTGCTTTATTCCATGTAATATATATGATCTTAGAACTATCCTTATGTCAGTTCATGTAATAAATGGGACTTTCATGGCCCCCCAGTGAACCACCCTCCTGGTACCGATGCCCTTGTGTAGTTCCCGCTCACTGATTTGGGCTTGGCCACGAGACTGACCTGCGGGACATTAGCAAACACGATACAAATGGAGGTTTGATAAGCATTAGGGCTTATCCTCTTGCAAGGCGTCCTCTCTGCATCCAGGTGCTAAATCCCGAGGCAGCCCAAGGAGCTATGTAGTGAGGCCCATACAGAGAACAGAGACTCCCAACTACAGCTCCAGCCGAGCTCTCAGGGAAGCTTCTACATCGGGGTTCGCGAATCACAGCCCCTCCCGCACAGGCACAACCCAGGAGTGCGGGGTACTGTACACTTCAAAGCCATAGGACAACCACAGCAAAGAAACTCTGCAGCCTTCACAGAGACTTGGGTGGCCTACCAAGTAAGTTACTCACTATGTCTTCATACAGAAAGAATTTGCCAGCCCCGGCTTTGAATGACTACAGCTGCCCGAGTGCCCCAACCAACACCCAGTAAAGAACTGCCAGGTCGACCCCTCAGAACTCTGTGGTGTGAATCATTATTTTTAACCTACCGTTTGGAGGTGGTGTATTATGCAGCAATATGCCACTTTCAATTCTTTAATAGTTGTATCATATTCTACCCTATCACTGTGCTGCTATTTAACAAGTACCAGGGGCACTATTATTAGTTCATATCCTTTTTTTATGATTAGTTCATATCATTAAAGTGTATATTTAATAATATTTAAGTTTAGGCCCTGGCCAGGTAGCTCAGTTGGCTCCTGTGTCTTCCCGATACACCAAGGTTGCAGATTTAATCCCCGGTCACGGCACATACAAGAATCAGCTAGTGAATGCCTAAATGGGTGGAGCAACAAAACAATCTCTCTCTCTCTCAAATCAATAAAATAATAACAACAATATTTAGGTACATTTTCTTCAATATATTTTTGCATACTTAACCAAACATACCCAGAAGATAAAGTAGCAGAAACTAAAGTGTTCACAGGGTAAAACTTCTGCTTAATGATCATGGAAAAACACCCGCCCCACCAGGAACAGAATTCCTGTTTCCTTCTACAGTCAACACCAGCACTTCTTTAACTCTACAAATCCCATAAGCAAGCTATAGCAGTTGTTTTATGAGAAGTATTGATCTGCTATATATTTAATGACTTTGTTTCTATTTCGATAAACTATCAGTTCATATCAATTTTCTGTTTCTATAAAGCTGTCAAGGTTTATTTACTGATCTACAAAAGTTCATTGTACACTGAGATAATCAACCTTTGCCTATAATATGTTGCAAATAATTATCCTTTGTTTCTCAGCTGAATAAAAGTAGCCTCAGTATTCACTTACCCAAGACACATCTTTAAAAATGTTCATCCTCTCATCTCCAATGAATTTATATCTATATATTTTTTGGAAAGTTAAAAAAATCAGGTTTTTGCACTTTGTGAACACCATTATGATTCCAATCCAACCACTGATGCACCATAAACAAAGAGAGGCTTTTTTTTTTTTTTTTTAAGTCCAGCAGCCAAGGAAGCACCAAGAACTGCACGAACTATTTTAGTGCCTGAATCCCACTTCCGACTTCTACATCCAGCTTTGCCATCTAGTAGCCACTTGCCTTTATCCCCATGCATTCTCTGCTTGAGCTGCCATTTCCTCATGTGGAAAAATAGAAAAACTATCCCTGCTTCCCATTTTCCCCAGATTAAGTCAGATGATTCAGGCAAAGCAACCAACACGTGTCTGACACTTAATAAGTGCCCCAGGACATTTGCTCTACTTCCCTTTCTTCCACTAAATCTTAGATTAAGAGAAGAATTTATGACATCTCTTCTGCCCAAAACAGCCAGCATGTCCAGAACTCAAATATTTGCCTCCCAGCACAAAAGAGGAGATAATTCCCAAAACGTCTCGCACCTTCTCATAATCCCAGGCAGACAAATGGGCTCTTTGTTGACACTGGAACTGCGCTGTCGGATCCAGCTGTTGTCATTGTGAAGGGATGTCCTCTTCCTCATTTCTTGAAGGATCTGTTGCCTCTCCAGCTCCGCTTCTGATGGAACTTGCTCCTTCTTGGAGCTCCGCTGTGACGAGCTACTGCTCCCAACTTGGTCTAAATACTTATGGTTTACTAAATTAAAAACACATTGAAAGCTGCAGGGTTAGTACATTGAAAAAAAGAACAGTGGCTAAATCTCCAAATACAGTGTAGCAAAAAATGTGACATTGTGCACACATGCTAACGTTATCGATTCTCAGTGAGGCTGCTGCCGAGGGACCTAGTCCCGAGATCCCAGTGCCACACCCGGGGCACACCACAGCGCGCACCGAGGAACACGAAGAAGCCTGTGGAAAGGGAACAACCAGCACTGATTCCAGCAACACTAAGTTACAAAATGCTCATCCAGAAACAGTTTCTCTTCCATCTGTCCCGGCCTTCCTAAATTAAATCAATCAAGCTTGTGTTCATTGAATGCTTGCTGTGACAACTCCACAGGGAACGGGAGCTCTACTCCTTCAAAAACTGTACACTTCTCCTGGGGAGACAGCGAAGACATCAATGCATGTATCTCCAGATGCCGTGACTCGAGTCTCCACGGTACATGTCACAGAATTCAAGTCATGACCAGACTGAAGAAATGAGAGCACATTCAATCACTGAACTGGCTTTTGTGAAACTGAAAATTAGCCAAGTAATCCAAATGCTAACCAGGGAATGTTACAAGACTTGCTTCTCTAATAAGAAACTGACAAAGCTATAATTTTGGATGTCGGATGCATGAATGAAAATTAAGTCACGTTTTATCCTGAAGGCTTTGTCTTATTGGACTTGCTGGTTAATTTCTGATTTGGGTAAAACATCCATAAACTTTGAAGTATCCTCCCCACCTTAATTCGGCTTAAGAAATTTCATCTAAGGATTTATTTTCTTTCACTCTCCAGATTCACTGCTATTGTCATTCTGTCAAAATTCATGATGTGTCTGCCTTAACTCATCTTCAAGTAAGCCATGAATAAGGCCACCAGAGGTTCCTTATACATATCTATGTTTATATTTGTGTATCACAATTTGGTCAGATTTCAAATGAAACATTTTCTATTTTACAAGTACCTTACTGGCATAACCAAGTTTTTCAATAAAATATGTGATAACTCCCACTGCCTGATACTCAGTTAACAAAGGGGAAAAGATGTACACACAAGAATAACCAGATTAATAATACCAGCCACGAATACCAACAGGACTATTTCAGAGGGAGAGAATCACACGGCCATTACTAACAGATCTGTGTCTAAGTTCAGAAAAGAATGCTATAAATGCAGGTTAAAAATGTTTCATGGCAGCCCTGGCCAGTTTGGCTCAGCGTTAGAAAGTCAGCCTGTGCAGCAAAGGGTCGTGGGGGTTGGCAGCAGGTCAAGTGCATGTGCCTGGGTTGCCCGTTCAATCTCTGGCCCAGTCAGGGTCATACGGGAGACGTCATGATGATCAATGTGTCTCTCTCACATCTGTTTCTCTCCTCATCCTCCTCTCTCCCTCCCTTCCACTTTCTCTAAAAATCAATGAAATAATATCCTCGGGTGAGGATTAACAACAACAACAACAAAATGTCTCATGGCAGATTGAAGTACTTAAACCTCCATTTTCATGGTGGTTAGTGGTGAATTCAGGGGAGAAGAAACCAGAAATCCACATTGGTGACACTAGAAGAACCCAATCAGAAAGCACCTGATAAGTTGGGAACCGAGAGAGAGAACAATTTGGTTCTAGTTAAGAGTTACAAGTGGGAAAAACAGCAAAATAGGCTGGAAAGACAAACTAGGACCAGAGAAGGAAGGAGAAAGGGGTGATCACAGAACCTAATAAAAACTGTAAATTCTACAAGCTTTAACCAGAAGTAACAAACGATCTCCCACCAGACTGTTCGGACCTGCAAATGTGGTTTGGCTCACAGAGGGTTTAAATTTTTTTAATTCGTTGTCAGTAATTAAAGGTTAACGTGAAAATCCAGATTTTTTGTTTGTTTGTTTTATTTCTCTTATAACAGAAACGGTAAGCAGAGGCTTGTATTCATTTTCTCACGTGACAGTAAGAGGCTGAAGCTGGGAAGGAGCTGTCCACTTAGATGGGCATGTTCACCAAGTTCACCTCAACCCTCACCCGAACCTTCCTTCATCTACATAAGTACTAATACCCTTCCTACGCCAAGGCTGGTATATAAACCTTGCTTAAGCCCTGGCCAGTTTGGCTCAGCGGTTAGAGCGTCAGCCTGCGGTCCACAGAGACCCAGGTTCGGTTCCCGCTAAGGGCATGTACCTTGGCTGCAGTTTGTCCCTGGCCCTGGTTGGGACGTGTGGGTGGTGGCCACTCGATGTGTCCCTTTCACATCGATGTTTCTCTCTCTTCCTCTCTCTCCTTCCCGCTCTATCTGAATAAAAAATGGAAAAATGTCCTCGGGTGAGGATAAAAAAAAAAATTTGTTAAACCATGCTTAAAATGATGCTTTTTGCTTAGTTGTTTGTTTGTTTTCCTTCAGTTATATGTAACACCAGTTATATATAGAAATGCACTTCAAACTAACAATATCAGGTTTCAAACTGTTTTTTCCAAGTTAGTGAAATCATTAATATTTTGGATTTTTTTTTGACACATGTTATTTAAATGTACAATTTCTATTTTATACACAATTTTGAAGTCACCTAGTATTCTGCAGAAAACTTTTCTGTCCCATTCCCTTGGCTACAAGATAAAATCAACTGTACAAAACTCTATCGGTAGCACTTTGAAAATTTTCCACATATTTCATTTTAATTTCCCGGTACTCCCACCATTATAAAGTAAAGCCAAAATAAGCACCAGATAGTTTTGTTTGTAAACACAAATGCTAAATATATTTGGTATTTGAATTATGTAATCTTGATGAACCTGGAATATCTTGACCTTAAAAATACTGATCATAGCGTGTGATAGCATAAATGAGCAATTTTGAAAAAAATTCACATTTACCATTTTTATTTGTGGAGTAATCATCGAGCTCAGTAGTGGATCTGGATTTATTCCTAGGACACAGAACACAGTATATAAGACATGTCTCATTAAAAACATCCTTTTCATATTTATGAAAAACACCAAAAATATTACTTTTTAAAGAAGATGATTTCCTGTCTGTTGAGATCTATAGTTATTTTCATACCAGGGAATTTTTCATGTTACACAAACTAGCAGAAAACAGTGACATCTCTTGAAGAGAGAAGAGCCTGATCCTGGAAATATATAATCATGTGAAAATCTTCTCCATCTTGTATGATGACTGAGCTTATAATTTGAACCAATTATATACTTTGCCTCTCTTCCAGATCTCAATCTTACCGGGATGTACAAAGCATCTGTCATCAGGTCTTCTAACATGCAACTATCCTACTTGCTTCCTGCAGCATGAGGGTCAAGAAGTCAACTTTGGGGGCATTAGGGTACTACTCTGAAGCAGCACCTTACCAAATACTGACCTAGTGTTCCAAAGCGGTACCCTTTGGAGTGGGCTGGCATAGGCAACTTCTGAAAATCCCTGACTTTGTACTGCAAAATATGGCTGTATAGTAACACATGCTGATCTCATTCTTATCCTACTAGGCACAGTAACTTCAAATAATAGTAATAAAAATGAATAATGATACATATGTATACATGTATTAGTACATGCATACAACATATACATGGATACACATATAACATTTAATCATGTATACTATATAATAAGAAGGTAACACAACTGTTAGCAACATTCATGAATGATTTCATTTGCCTTCATGAATAAAAGAAAATACATTTATGACAAGATGTTTAGCCACACTCCTTAATTTCTCTAGGGCATGCTATCCCACAAATGCCTAGAAGAATTTCATATTTCCCAGGATTCCTTAAGTTTCCTTTCTCTGAAATCTATTTTCTCAAGGCAATGAGCTATATAAATTAAAGCTTATTTAAATATACAGATAAACACATAGCTTAAAAGAAGAGAGATACGCATCTTAATAATCTATAGGTACCCAGGAACACTCATTATAAATCAGGTCACTATTCACTAGAACTTTTTCTCAGCTTAATATCAGCCCCTTATTACCTGTATAGTACCTTTTCTGTTCCCTATCTGCTCTGAGCCCTAGTCAGTCACCTGATTGCCGATACAGATGAATCGTTCCTTATCTAGAAAGCAAGCTTCCTAAAGAAAAAATTTCAGCTCTGAAAACGCAAGTTACTGGTCATACAGTGGATATTTTTATTCTGTGTAGAAGCCCTTAGTGATTTCAAAAGTGCAAGGCACTTTTAAAATTACTTAAAAACATTCAATGTAATGTTTTAGGGAATTTGAAGATGTATATACAACTTATGATATCTGAACTCCTATCTGCATTCCCCAAAAGTGACCAGTAGTTCTAATCAAACAAACAGAGGGGCCGCAATTCTCACTTCAGATGTCTACGTGTAACTTCATTTGGGGTAGGCTTATGCCGTGGCTTATAACCTCTTTCAAATAAATGTTAAGGTAGATTGCAAAAAATGAACACAATGATCCTCCTGAGCCCATCCCCTTGCATTATGGCTCCTCCCATCAAGAGGTAGAGTTTTTCCCCTCTCTGACAACTTGGGCTGGCTCTGTGATTTTGCTTAAATAATAGAATGTGGGAGACAAAACGAGATAGACCAAAGAACTGATATGCATGTATGCATAACCAATGGACATAGACAACAGTGTGGTGAAGGCAGCGAGGGCAGGAACAGGAAGTAGGGTGTCGAAGGGGGAAAAAAGGAGGGACATCTGTAATACTTTCAACAATAAAGATAAATTTTAAAAATAATAATAATGATAGAAGCAATGGTGTGCCAGGTCAGAACTGAGACTCTAGGGTGCCCAGAATGCTTCCTATCTTTCATTCTCTCCCTTTTCTCCCCCAGCCACTGTGTAGGTAAGACTGCACTGATTGGCCACGTGCTGACAGACACACAGCCCAGTTGGTCTCACTGCCCAGCTGACAGCCAGTTAACTCCCAAAAGTTCACCTGGTAAACTGGTAGTAGACTCATGATGAGCCCAGTCAAATAAAAGAACTACCAATTGAGTTCAGCTCAAAAGTCTGAAACCCAAAATCATAAATTAAGTTACTGAGTTGAGGGGTAGTTTTAAATATCTACCAGCAAGATCTCTTGGCGCCCCACGGAAGATCAAGAGCTGCAGTAGTTCTACGAAACATCTAGGACAAGCCCACGAAAATTCATTTGAAGCCAATTACTCCAACCAAATTACAACGAAATGTTCTACACACCTGTCACTAGGAAGCAAACCTGAAGAGTCTTCCTCGCCCTTTGGTATATCATAGGAATCAACAGGCCTGAAAGGTGGAAAAAGTTTATGATCAAAATGAAAGACTTTAATGCCTTCCCAGGTTTTAAGAAAAAGGTAATAAAACAATGTTATTCTAGTTATCTTTATAAGAATGGTCTCTCGGTTGCAAACTAAACACACAGAAGTATTTTAATCAATCACTGCAGAAAGCAGACCCACTGCTACCAACAGACATTTGCAGTCCATCTCACAAGTACATGTCGTGTGCCTGCTATGTTCTAGGGACATAAAACAAGCTCATTGGCCTCCTAGTACTTCGATTTCAGAGGAGCATGCAGGCCAACCACCAAGGAAATGAATACTAACATATAACAGGGAAGGCACATGGAGAGAAGGGGTAGGGAGAGGTACGTCTTTTAGATGAGGCATTCTGGGAAGTCTGAGAAGGTAACATGTTCTGCCTGTTCATTTTGTTTGTAGATTCCATTGTCCATAGATATGTATTCATTGCCATTTTGTTTGTTCATATATTTTATCTTTTTCTTCAAAAAGACCCTTCATCATTTTATATAATAACGGTTTGGTGGTGATGAGGCTCAGAGACTTAAACAAAATGAGTAAGACAACAAATGGAGAAGGGAACACTTCCCTGGGCCAAGAAACTAGAAAATGCAAAAGCCTAGGGGCAGAATGTGTTGTGCACATGCAAGAAAGGAAAAGGAGGACCGTGCTAGATACACCAAAGGGCCAACACAGTTCATACAAGGCTTCTACCGCCCTGTGGATGACTTCGGATGTCTAATGTGAGGGGAGCCATTTGGAGATACTGAGCAGGAAAGTAAGGTGACAGGAGCTTATCTACTGTGTGAAGGGCTCACCCTGGCTGCTTGTGTTCACTTGTGTAGAGATGGATGGTGGGGAGCAGGAAAACCAATCAGGTGCCTCTGAAGTGGACAATGGATACAGATAAGCCAAGCCCATTGAAAACCCACATGTGCCCTTTGGCATGGGAACAGACCTTCTATACTGGTATATTTTGACTGATGTTTCCCTCTCTCTCTCTGCCTGGCGCATCTGTTCCTCTGCACGGCGCTTCTGTTCCTCCTCCTGGCGCTTCTGTTCCTCCTCCTGGCGCCTCTGTTCCTCCGCCTGGTGCCTCTGTTCCTCCGCCTGGCGCCTCTGTTCCTCCGCCTGGCGCCTCTGTTCTTCCTCCGCCTGGCGCTTCTGTTCCTCCTCCTGGCGCCTCTGTTCCTCCGCCTGGCGCCACTTCTCTTCCTGCTCCTCCTGATATTGCTGCTCCTTCAGTTCTCTCTCTTTGTCAAGAGTGAATTGTTCCTGCAGCTTCTTTCTTTGGTCTTCATTCACACCTTCCTTTTGCCACTGTCTCCTCTCCTCTTCTCCTGCTCGGGTTCCTTCCCTGTCGGAAGACTTGGACCCTTCGTCCCAGGTGGCTTCCAAGGTGGCAACAGCAGGCTCCCGTGTGGTCCGAGCGATGCTGTTTGAGTTTAGGACCATTAGCTCCTGCATGACCAGGGGGGAAAATATTATGCATTTGTATAATTTAATAAAGGTATGTCTATATTCAGTTTCAGATAATACTCTTTGTAGTTGGCCCGGAATTCTATTTCAAATGATGTTAAGTTTTATCACTAACAAAGCCACACGTGGGTGATGGAGATGTAACTTAGAAGAGGAAGGTGCACTCAGGGTTTGTTAATAGAATTATTGAACTATTCAGTAGAGAAACTAGGAGAATGTTGAAACATCAGAGCAAAATTCTGACAAACCAAAGCTCACTGTATTTTTCAAAGAGCTACGTAGGCGAACGTGTGGCAAAAGCCCAGTGAAATGTATAATCTTCCATTTTTCAGCTGATTTCACCAAGATAGAGAAGCAAGAACATGTTCCAACGCTACCTCATTCAAGAACTTGTAATTCTCTCTCTCAGCCTCCTGCTTAGCCCTTTGCCACTCTTCCCTTAGTTTCTCCTGCTCGCGTTGATATTTTTCCTATAAGAAATGATAGCATATTAATTGATTAGCTAATTAGTAGGTTGATGTTAATCTTTTTCATTAGCATTTTTGCTAGCCCTGCCTTTCACCTCAATCTTTAAACACAGAAATATTTACTTTCACCGATCAGATTCTGGTCCCCAAAGTAAAAAAGAGCTTATATTGAATTAAAATGCAGGCATTGGAAAAGGGTAAGACACTCAGAATTGAACCCGAATGCACCCTTTGCCATGGTTGTAATTCATTAAAGTCCCTCAAGCTAACTGCAAGGGGACTGCATTTCTCTGCAATAGACTGAGCAAGAGTGTATAGGGTAGGAAGTCCTCACAAAGCCTCTCACTCATACAAAAATCTTATGTTCATTGCAGCTTTATACACAATGGCCGAGGCATAGAAACAACCTAAGTGTCCTTTGATGGATGACTGGATAAGGAAGATGTAGTGTTTGCACACAATGGAATACTACTCAGCCAGAAGAAAAGGTGAAATACTGCCATTTGCAACTATATGGATGGATCTTGAGAGTATTGTGCTAAGTGAAATAAGTCAGAAAGAAAAGGATAAGACCCTATGGTTTCACTCATGTGGGATGTAAACAGAAAGGAACAAACAAAAGAAACAAACCAACTCATAGACACAGACAACAGAATGGTGCTTACCAGAGGGGAACAGGGTCGGGGAGGATAAAGAGGGGAAAGGGGGTCAAATATATGGTGACAGAAGGAGACCCGGCTGGGTGGTGAGCACACAATGCCATATCCAGATGATGTATTATAGAATTTTTATGTGAAACTTATAAAATGTCATTAAGCAGTGTCACCACAATACATCTAAATAAAAAATAGTACATAGAAAGAGAAAAAAGTAAAATCCAAACTACAGTGCCTCCTATACTCTAAAAATATACACAAAGGTTAATACGTGATTTTAAAAGGAGGATTATGGAAATCTTCCAAATGGAAAAGCAACTGACTGCATTCTACCAGACAATTACTTTTAACATAAAAAAAATAATCATTTTTGTATTTTAATACAAATGCACTACCTATCAAAGTATTTGTTAATGATGAGGTTACTGGCTTTTAAGTTTCTTTTTTTACTGTGCTTCTCTGCACTGGTTGACACTGACCAGGGAAAGCGCTTAAACAGGCCCACTTCCTGCGGCTGCAGGATTCTGGCTACCTGCAGCAGGCGGGATTCTGGCTACCTGCAGCAGGCGGGATTCTGGCTCCTGCAGCAGGCGGGATTCTGGCTACCTGCAGCAGGCGGGATTCTGGCTACCTGCAGCAGGTGGGATTCTGGCTACCTGCAGCAGGCGGTCCTGCTCCTTCTGCCACCGCTCCTGCCGCTTCCGCTCCTCCTCTTGATCCCAGGCCCAGCGACTGGGGGCGCTGATCGTTGGAACTGGGAGCTACCCAGAGAAAAGAGGTTCAGAGAACACATCACTTCATCAAGTCACCTATGGGAGCCTATGTGCATGCATAGATTATTCACACCACCCTGGGCCTAAGCTGTTCCACAGGACAGCTGGCTTTGTCGTTCAAGATAGATCTTTTCAACTTGAAAAGACTGGATCAGCTTCCTTATTCCAAAAAAACACAAGGGAATGTTACTTACGTCGGGAACCACAGAGTCAGAGCTTCCTGCAGGGCGGCATGCGGGTGAGGAAGGAGAAAACACAGTGTAAGTCTTCATGTCAATGAAATAATTCCTTCCAGAAAGTTGTATCACGAGCTGTTTCTATGCCAGTATACCAAGTGACATCATTTTTTTAAACAACAGGAGTAAGTCCTTCTTATCCTCTTAAATTCTATCTGCTTGTTAATCATCTTCCAAATTCAAAGTCGGTTAAAAAAGAAAGAAGGGTCAAGGATACACCCAAGTTCTGGGTGCTAGCGTTAGATCAGTGGTATATTTCCGAATAATTTAGAGGGTTCTTGTAGTAATAGACTGGGTAGTATCTCATTGTTTGGCCTACTTTTAAAAAATTTCAAATGTTACAAATCCTGTGTTTTACTTGTCACTATTCAATTACAATGTGAGAACTCTAACTTACATTTTTCATGTCTTCTTGCTAAGGAGCTACTTTTCTTAAATAAGCCACCATATTTAACATGTTCAAGAAACCTTTCTTTTCCTCCTATTATTTGAAACATAAATATTCAAATTTCATATGTATGGCATAGTGTTATTCTTTTTCTTTTTCACAGTGTTATTCTTTTTAGTCTTAGGGTGCCTATATAAGTGTGTGTCTGTAGTACAAGGAATACAAACAAGTAAGCAAATTTCATAAAATGCACTCTCATACAGTATTTTAAAATTTTCCTGAAACCTCAACTGTCAAATAAATTATTCACTTACACAATTATATGTTTAAGAAAACTGCTCTGAGAATTAGGAAAATATTCTTCCCTAAAGTAGCCTGTTGAAGGAAAGTGAGTAAAACTTAGAATCAAAAAAAAAGGAATTGCGTGGTTTTAGCCGATCTGAGCTAGGAGCATCATATTGTATCAATTAAGTTACCATGGAAAAAACAGAAGTTTAAAAAAAAATTAAAAACACTAAGGATACTGACACAAATAGATCTTGCACATGCACAACTGCTGAACTATTTCTATTTATGGTCGAGAGACCCTAATTCACCAAATGAAGACTACTAGGGGATCAGCACAAAATATCAAAGTCCAGTAAACATCATGTCATAAGGCAAGTTTGTAAATGTTTGAGAAGCTTAAAAGTAAGAAACATTTCAGACAGCAACAGCACGCTCTCCCCACCCCACCCCACCCCGACCGTGCCAGCTACAATGTTTGGATATTACTTTTAAGTTCTTGACAGTGAAACACAGAGCGCAAACCACATTCGTGAGACAGAGCGTGACAAATGCGAGGGAGGAAACACCACATGCACCGCACAGCGTGAGGGAGCGCTGCCCACTACACCAACGTAGAGAACCTCAACACTCACTGGTTCACAAATGTCACCAACGTGTATTTTCTTTTCATTTACTTCAAAGTCAACAGAGTCCTATTAACACTCCAAAGCTGCCATCCCAATAGCAATAGACAGCTCTGCTTTTTTACTGGGAACATTTTCCAGAACCAAAAGGTAGAGGTCTTTAGGAAGTTAGCCAGTGATATGTTGGTGCAATCTAAGATTATGCAATTTGTAGGAAGCAGTAAGGCTTAAATGAAAAGGCCTCATTTCTTACTGTCACCCAGTGGAAAGAAGTGTGTGTTTAATATCATCTCAATTTTTTAATCAAAAAAGAAAAGGGAAACAAGAAACTTCAGAGGTATGAAGGACACACAAAGACCCATTACCACAGAGGTAGACCCATGAGCTGTAAGAAAAGCCTGATGACCCTAGGGAAAGAATGGAAATGGGTTATGTCGTTGGTCATGATGACAGCCAAACTGCACAGGCTCTGTGCCCAGCACCACAGACTACCAGGAAAGAGTGGAGGGTGGGAACAATTCCATGAAAATGCATGAATTGTTAGCTTGGTGGTTTACCTTGTTCAAAAAATTGTGATCGCCTTTTTAAGTTTTTCAAAGAAATAGGTTCAGATGCTAGTTGAAAAATACAAAAAAAAAAATCAATAAGATGTCATTCATTTTCATTTCTCACCACTGGAAAACAAAATGATACTTGATACATATTTCTAATCTATAGCAATATTATTTTTTATAATAAAAATGACAAAACTGATAGCCACAAAAGATATGAATTATTTCAATGCACAAAGACACACATATTTTTAGTAGCCTGTACTATATTCAAATTAGTAAAAGGAACTAATATTTTTATTAACACATTTTAGCAGAAAAGCAGTCTAGTTTCACAAAAGCCAAAGTACCACCTTCAGGCTGGATCGCGCAGCATTAGGGAAATGGGAATTAAGTTGTTTTGATTAGGTCAATCAAACATCTCTTCTAGCACAAAGAAAACTGTTTGTAACTAAGAGGTTTTACAACACAGGTGAGAAAAAAAGAAACTGAAAAAATAACGGGGAAAAGGACAAGAAAATCAGTAATCGAGAAAAATCAAAACAAATGCTAAACTTAAAACATTCTTGTCACTAGAACATTTTGCCCTCGTGTTCAAGATCTTACAGACACTCCTTTTAAGAAAAACAAATGGAGTCCTGTCAGATAAGAAAGAGAAAGAAAACATTCTGACTTCTGCAGGTCTGTCACAGGATTATGGCAAATGATTGTTATACTTTAATGTATTCATAAAATGTAAGTGCAATTATTACTTGATACAAGTTGTTGTCTAAAGAAAACTCTGAAATGATGAACCCATGTAGTCCCATAGTCGCTAACGAGTTAAGGGTCTTATTAGTTTTGCTTTGCCTGAGTGACTGACAGAGCAGGACCTGGATGCCTTATATTTAATATCAGGAAGAAAAAAAAGTCATTTTAAAAGCTCCTTTGATAAAGAATGCAATAGCAAACAAAATATAGTCAGATGATCAGAAATGAAATGCAAAGATAAATAATCAATAAAAAGAGGAAAAGTTATAAACTTACTTTGGCTTTAACATAAGGTATCATAACTGGCAAATGCAGATTCAAAGCCACCAGATTCAGGCTGCTGTGGAAACCCAGCCCTATTCCTGGCAGTCTAGGTTCATGGTAAAAGAAGTTTCATCTTCTTTGGATCTCTTTCCCTGCCTACTTATTTTGTATGCCTAAGGAATAGCACACCACATGTGGTAGTTAAATTATTTATAGACCAACAGAAGGAGGAAGAGAATGCTAACTCCATAAAGCAAAATTATCCTAGATACGATGCCTTTTTTTTTTTTATTACAAATGGGTACTTTTGCTAACAACTGTTATTGTCCTTGGCATTTCCCTATTAATACTAGCTGCCTCCAAGCTTGTCCCTCTCACAACAATAGAGGGAGAAAGGGAACTTCATTCATCGTTTTGTATTTAACTATGATTCCCTTTGGCAGCATACCATAGCACTGACGGCTGATGGCCTTGGGAAAACCAGTCTTTCTTAGTTGGCTTAGACACTCAGGCACTCAAAGCTCCTGGACAGGCTGCCAAAGCTTTGTTTGCGGTGCCTGATCCATTCAACGCTGGAACTGAGCGCCTTTCCACCTGCTGCAATTGGATCTGAGTGCTAACCTTTTAGTTTCAACTTGCAGTGGATCAGTTTTTCTTTCACTCACAGATATTAATTTTTATATTGACAGAACTTAGGTGCTATGACTTTTCTTATAGTATGAATGTAAGTTATAATGGTGATGTTTACCTTTTAATTCAAAAGCATTGCTTTCATCACGGATCCCATTGATTTCCTTGGACTCAGTATTCTAGAAAGAATAAAAAGGCCAATTAACGACATTCTCTCCAATTGGACTTTGGGCTTAAATAATGTATTTCCCATTGATGAAAATACCTTTTAGCAAAAGGAATTGTCAATATTAATGTATTCTTTACAGCCTTTTACATATAATAGATACTTTTTTTCATTACTCTTTGAAATTTGGGAAAGGATTAATGACTAGCATGGATGGCTTTAAGTTCAATCAGTCATTAATTTTCTAAGAAACATGATGGGTCAAATAATGATTAGTCCATTTGGCTTATATTTATGAGTAAGCAACATAGTTATATAGGATTCTCTAACATTTATATCTGTCTTACACAATGTAGCAGAATCTCCTTATTAGAAAAAGAGGGTATCTTCAGATAACAATATATATCTAGGGAGTCAATATAAACATTTATTTGAAAATTTAAATTTAAGTATTGCTTTGATAACTTAGAAAATCGTCTACATTATGATTATTTTAATAAATTAATGTAATTGAGTATCTCTTAACCACATATATAAGTCTACCCACCAAATTTACCTACACAAGGACTAAAGTGCTTCATGAGGTTTTAAATTGTACACAATTACTATACTTATTTTACCAGTAAAGACTAAAGAAAGCATAGAAAAGCCATAGTGTATAATTTAACATAATTACTACTTCACATTCACAAGGATCTGAGAGATGGGTATAATGATGAAAGATTGGTAAGAAACACCTGCAAAACACCAGTATGGGATCTTTTGATTTTACTATTATGTAACTTGTTATTACTCTAATTATTAATGAGTAATGCTTATGATTTTCAAAAGTACATTTTACTCTCATTACTATAAATTATTTTATTTAATTATCTGTTGTTTAAAGTAGCATCAAATTGTTCAAACAAAATAAATTATTCTCCCCCAACACACACTTCCTACAGTTGCTTTGCTCTAAACAAGTATTCCCGCTTCTCAAAATACTTACAGAATTCTGGAGGCTTTCTGAGAAATCAGTCATTATTGATAGATTTGAAGATCTGTCTGAGTTGTAAATTCCAGAGGTTGCATCAATCCATTTTGTTTCAGGTGAACCTATAATTTTGGTAGCCATACTGGTGAGATTGAGGGTTTTATGCCGTGTAAATGGCAGGGAAGGCTGGTCTTTGCCCCAATCTGATTGGCAGGTGAAGATCAAGAAATGAGTACACATAGATGTTGAAGTGGAAAGAACATAGTTACTGAATGCACATACACAAAATGCACACACACAAGACAGACAAACAAATCAGATAGTGTGTGAAAGAAATGAAAAGTTTAAGGCTTCTACCAAGAGACCACCTTCCGAAAACACATGGTTAGATCATGTTAATAATGAAAAGAGTAGCAAATTTGCTGAATATTTCTGTAAACCAGGAATGGCTATTACTTTACAATATCAGAGGTTGGGAGGTCTGGGTGGCTTAATGCCCATCTCGTCTAACTTTTATAACTAGGAAATTCAATGATGGAATGTATCTTGAAAGTTTCTTAAGAATGAATGCCCACCCCCATCTAACTTCTATAACTAAGAAATGCAATAATAGAATGTATTTTGAAAGTTTCCTGAGAATGAACAACAGGAATATGACCTACCACGTTCTCTCTTACTCCGGGTATAGTTACGATGCTGTAGAGAAAGTCCAGTCATAGTGTAATTCTTAATACTCAAAATTATTATATGACTCCCTAATGCAGATACAATTACAATAGCCTTCAAAAAAAGTGACAGATATATTTGAATAAGTATTTTTAAAAACCAGTAATCTTCAGTTGTTATATGCATTCAAAGTCAGTCCAGGATATAAAGTAGTCAATAACTAATGTAGAATTCAGTAAATTTGCTAGTGAAAAGTTTTCAGACAGAATAGTTCAGGAAGTGTCATTCATGATTTGTCTGGACATAACCAAAAAATATATATATATCTTTAAGCAAAAAATAAAAAAGTAAAATGAAAAGAAAAAAAAATGTTATTGAAGCAAGCTGTTATAACCACCTGCCAAAGACCAGTTCCCAATTTAAAAAGCCAGACACAGTGGTAAAAACAACTCACCAGAGTTTCCATACCGCCTGATATCCATGACTAGGTTTCCAGTTTCTTGAGCATTAGCCATGGTTTCTTCCCACTCTTTTGTGTCCTTGTATGAAAACTTGGTGTTGTTGACAGCAATAATTTCATCATCTACCTGTAGCTGAGAAAATTCTGCTGGGCTACCTAGATTAAGCAAAATTAACACCCAATTTAAAAATAGCCATGTTCTTTGGTCATTGCTTATTTAAATTTTTTAAAAATGACTTTTTAATCTCAACTAACCATTTCTCTAAAAACTAATCATTTTTCAGATGGAAAAGAGTCACAAAATTTCTTAGTTATCAAACATTTGAGTATCAACAATACACAAAGCACCAGAGGCATTTTGTATATCATCTTCATTAACATTTAAAGGATAAATGATAAGTTCATCTATTTTTTTAAATTTTTTATTAACCTCCTAAGAACAAAGAAAATTTTAAATTATTTTTAAATTAAAGATGTAAAATAAATTGCACTTTGGTTGAGCTCCTAAATCCAAAGGCACTCTGGAACAGAGAAGAAAACAGGGCCACTTAAGACTGCTTAAAATTACTATTTACCGTTATCTCATTAAAGTCTTAAAATTTCAGAGAGAGAGCCAGTTAGCATGCAATTTTATGTAGTTAAAATATGTAAATGAAGACCTCCTCTTAAATATAGCTTTCTTTTTAATTTTAGGCCTTGTGGTCATATTTTGCTAAGACTTCGGGGCTTGACTGGTATAGCCCTGTGTGGGGGTGGGGCAATCCTTTTGTAAAAGTCCCAAAACATCCCGAGGACTCCATAGGCTATAGCTATATTAGGATGCTGGGAAAACATCTCTTTACTATGTAGCCCAGGTAGACTACCACAAACACACCTGATCAGGGATTTATTTATTAGCATTTTCAAATATTAAGCCTAAGATTTTGACAAATGAATTGTGTAAAAGTCACAAAAGGAAGACTCTTCAAAACTAAAATTAGATAGACAAGGAGAACAAAGAACATGTAGTTTGTAACTCAACTCTTAGTCTCAGGGAAAAGGATGCATCCCCTCAATTTCTGCTACATTTTCCACATGTGTGTTCTTCCATATCAAATAAACTAATTCCGGAGGGGGTGGGGTGGGGAAGTTGAACAGCACAGGATAACAAAAGAGAAAAAATTTCAGTAAAGCAAAATCTATGAATTACCTGCTTCGACAGATGCTATGAAGATCCCGGAAATATCCCATTTTACTGTAAAGCCAAAGTCAAGACTGTTCCCAGGCGTCTGGTTTATGCTGATTCTCATATCACTGAACTGATCCTGAAAACAAACATGAAACGGTGGGATCGGGTGTCCCTGGCACCCGCATGGAGGAAAGTCTATCCACGAAAGAAGGGAAGCGGCAGGCAAGGTCCACTTGAACTATTTCATGATCAGCTAGAAGTTTCATTCTTTTTCCCTTGGGTTTGGTAAAACCTTCATTTATATAAATATTAGCAGGTTTATTATTTTTCTGCTAAAATAAGGGAGATTTATATCAGCAGATGTTTTTCTTCACATTCATACAGCAGGCCATTGATAAAGCTTAGGCTTTTGCCCACCATATAATTAGGTCTAATTGATGGACCATTTGTTTTCACCCAGGAATGAAGTTGAGTGAGGAGAGGGTGTGTGTGTGTGTGTGTGTGTGTGTGTGTGTGTAATGGAATATTCTTAAACCATGAAAAAGAACATTCTGCCATTTGCAACAACACAGATGAACCTAAGCATATGATGCTAAGTGAGATAAGTCAGGCAGAGAAAGGCAAGTACTGTATGATATCACATATATGTGAGACATAAAAAAAGCCAAGCTTGTAAAAACAGAGTAAAATGGGGGTTACGAGGGGATGGAGTTGGGGAGATAGGGCAGATATTGTTAAGGGTATGAACTTGCAAAGAGTAGTTAAGATGCCCTAGAGATGTAATGCACAGGGAAGTGAATATAGACAACAATATTTATTATATTATAATCATCACACTTGTCAGAGACTAGAACTTAATGATTCTAACCACTAAAAAGAAAGGATAATTACGTAATGGAATAGAGGTGCTCGTTATTGCTGCATTTATTCAACATATAAATGTATCAAATTAGTATTTGTACACCTTAAATTTACAGTGTTATATGTCAAATAGATTTCAATAAAATGGCATTTTTGAAAATGCAAAAAATATTAAAATCATTTCTTTTTAAAATATATATGTTATTGAACTTAGCTGAATAATTTCAAGGGGTTCCCAGACACATAATTCATCTACCAGTTGCATACTTATCTAGGACAGGCACCGCCCCCAAAGAGCTTCAGACACGTTGGCAAGGCATTTTTGCTTACCCACTGCCACGTGGAGACAGAGCTGCTGTACCAGCTACAAGACAGAGAACCACGCCATGCCTGAGGAAGCAGCAATCCCCCCAGAGGGCCCTACCGAGACGCCCTGAGCTGTAGGCCACAACTTCCCTGAAGCGCCACCAGTCCATAAGCCCAAGAACAATTGCCGCTTGAACAACAGAATGTTATGTCCTCGTCCATCACTATGCTACACAGCAACAAATTCTAAGTTGCACAGACTTTCACAAGTCATCTTCCAAAATAAATGTGCTAAGTTTTACAGTATACGATGCCTGTGAGAAGTTCAACTACTCATCATTGACATGTTTTGTTTTGGGTAAGCAGCAGATATGAAGTTTAACATAATGAGTTTTCCAGGATTAGTGTTTTAGTTCTTTGATTCATAGTCATAAAGAACTTAGACTGAAGAGTTTAAAACTCCATATTCCTAAGGCCACCTTATTTTCCAGAAAAAGACCTACAACCTCTCCATTTTAATTTAGCAGTTAAACTGAAGCCTAGGCCCAACTGGGCGATTCCTAAAACCTCATGCTTAAATTTTTCCACCTCTAAAACAGGTTTAAGATCCAAATAACAATATTCTGAGAAAAATTTCTCATTATCTAAGAATTAGAAGGAATAAAATAAAGGTTTGAGAATTTACTATGTAATAGGGACACAAAAGTTAAGTGCTGGAACAATATTCCCTTATTCCTTTGCTCAAGAGTCACTGATTGTACATCTTATTCTATATATGACGCAGTGCTTAGCACTTTGAGAAATAAAGATGTTAGGCATGGCTCTTGAGAGAAATAAAGACGGACTCTTCAACAGTGGGTATGGAATTTTGTTAAGGAAAAAATGTAGCTAATAATATAGAAAAGATTTCATCAGAAAGCTTTTAAAGCAGTTTAAATATGGGAACCCAAAGGTAGTTAGTTAGAACACTCATTAAGCACCAATCTCCAGAATAAAACTCTGCTATGAATAGAAAAAATTATTGGTTAGTTCTACTCCGTAACTAAAACCACCATAAACTTACAGATGACTCAATGAAAATAAATGGTCCTCTTATGCCACCCCCACCCCCACCCCCACCTTACCCCGATGCCAAAATTCCAACTTAAACCCAATTAAAGTGCAGAATCTATTGCTATATAAGGGCAGAGAGACAAATGATAGGTTAGATATTCAAGACGTTAATTGAGGTTTTTAATTTGAGGAATAAAAGACGGGATGGAGATTTAATAAATAGTTTCAAACTACATAAAGAATACTTTGTGGGAGGCAGCAAGTGAATGTTATCCTTTTCTAGCAAATATAGGATAAAAGAGAACATGTTTAAGCCACAGTCGGAAGAGTCTCTCAATTACATTCGACCGGAAGCATTATCACACAAAAGGCTGCTCCTACCTTGGAAACAAATCTCTACTTGAACATATTAAACAAAAGGGCAGATAACCACCTCCCCTAAAGAGTTAACAGAGGACAGCCTCATTGCAGCTACTGCCTGGATCCTTGGGACTGGACACAGGAGAAGAAGAGAGAACCACATGGACAATCACAGGGCCATTTCTGTCAATGACCAGGCGACCTCAGGCATGTCACTGAGTCTGGAGAGCCTTCCCTCTCACAAATACATTGATTTTCAAGTTTTTGTTTCTTAAAGCCCTATTTCCAAGTGAAAGCCTTATGCACACCAAGTCCCTCCAAGGCAATATAAAGGATTCAAGTTATCATTTCAGGGTAGGGCCCCAGAGCCCCACCTGCATGGCCTCCTCCGCATGGCAGTCTCTCAGGCACCTCTGTGGAGTTCAAGGTTATTCGGTTAGGTTATCCCTGAGGCTTCGTACAGGGGAACACAGCTAACAGGGGCCTTCACGTCACGGCGCTGGAGTGACACACCTTCACCAGAGGCATCCTTACCCCTCTCTCTACTTCCCCATCAAAGAGGCATCCATACCTCTTTTCTCCACTTCTTCATTCCAAAACACAAGGCGTTTCAGCTCTGCCACTTGACCCGACCCATTCCAAGCATCTCTCTTACCTACCAAATCCATTCGCAGTCCTCACCCCACCATACCTACCAACTGCTCTTGCTTTCGGGAAAGTCTCACTTTCTCTTGTCATTTTCCTCCAACTCTTGACACTTCTCAGTTTCATTCATATGTTCCCCTCTTTCCATGTTCATTGTGTTGTTGTCCCCTCATTGGTCTCCCATCTTTCTGACTACGTGCTTTCCCGAATAACCTCCTTTGCCGCTATATCTTCAATTACTAAGTTGAACTAAGCCCAACACGTCCAAAACTAAATTCACCCTCTTCCTCCCCCTGCTCTTCTACCTCTTGTTTTCATATCCTGACTAATTATATCGCTCTCCACCCAGGTGCCTAAATTAGAAGCATCAGGGTCTTTCTGGGGCTCTTCCTCTTTTCTTCTCCTAACTGCTCCCCACCCCAGTTCCATGCAGTGGGCCCCACCCCCACTCTCCACCACACACATGCATTCAATAAAGGGTTCTCAAGTCCACAATCCATAAATCCATCTGGAACCACCCATATTTTCATCTTCCTTCAGGTTATCATCTTTGTTTGGCCCTGGTGTCCCCTCTGCACTACTGCGGTCACCTGTCAGTGGGTTCTTGGACCTCCAACCTTCTTTTCCCCTTCCTCATGGCTGCAAGAACGTTAGTAACAGAACATGACAATTATTATATCACAGCCTGTTTTAAAATTGCCAGAAGCTCCTTCCTGCCTACTTGGTAGATTTCAAACTCTATCTTTCAGAAGTAATTTACTTCTGATAAGGTTCAGTAATATATACCTTCCTCAAAACAATCTCAACAGTTATTTTATCTTTATGAACCAGAAGGTGTTTCAGTCTCTGTTGGCTCCCTATTGGCTCCAAAAATTCTAAAGACACGGCAAAGTTAAAATAAGTCAACACTTGGTGTTTTTCCTTAAGGCAGTTCTCAAATTTGAGCATATCATACTTCAAAAAAAAATAATTCAGGTCAGAGAAATTACCACTGTGGCCCAATCCTTTAACCAGCCTGGAGCACTTACACAACTTTCACATCTCAAGAATCTCTCTGGTAGTAATGGGGATAATACCACCTACTTTGAAAGGTTATTGAGAGGAATAAATGAAACATTTAAAAGGTGCCAAGGCAGGTGGTTGATGCCTAGTAATTACCTTCTTTTTCCCATGGAAACAATGTTATCCATTATGTATATGCTGGTTAAGCAGTTTCCAGATCAACTGAAGAAAATCCTATTTAATGCTCACATACAGGGCACTCAAGCCGAGAGAACTCAGTCAGCATTCAACAAACACAGATCCGGGAACTGTGCTAACAAGTAAGCAAGACAGGCTTGTCTCCTACTTTCACAGAAAGTCAGGTGTAGTGAAGGTGACAAGCAAAGAAAATGCAGGGTAGGAAGCATTATTAAAAAGGGCATTTATCATAGGCCCGGGGATCAGGAAATGGATACGTAAAAGGCCTCCTTCCATATTTCTGACCCTACAGCTGGGTGCTGCTTTAAAAAAATCTAGGGCAGAGATTCCAAAATGTGGGTTTGGATGGGATTTGAGAATGGCTGGCTCTGACTGGACAAAATGAAAGGAAAACCTGTAGGTAACACCAATTTGCGGGGAAATCATGAAAGCCACATCTGTGGCCAGTTAGAAGAGGGACTGTCCCCCTTGCTCAGGGTCAACCCGGAATTGTCTCAGGAGCCTAGATTGGCAAGGGAAGCAGGCAGAGCAGCAACACCAAAGGAGAAATAGGGGAGAGAAGGGACTAGAGAAATGGAGATGGGGAAGAAAGGCAGGAAATGAAGTCACATGAATTTATTCCTTTCATGATGCCTTTCCTTTTTTACGGCATAAACCACCTTATTACCACAATTCTGTGACAGGCTCCTAACCGGTCCCTGCCCCGAGACTTCATTACCTTAAAATAGTTCTATGTAACATCACAGTGCTTACAGCCCTAAATCACCCATTAATCTTACAATTCCCACATCAAAGATCCTATAAGGACCTAAATTACCTGCTGGATCAAGTTTATACTTCAGTGTAGTAATCAAGGCCTTCACTGCAAATCAAGTCAGTAAATATTTAAGTGCCAATTATGTGTAAAGGCTGTGGAGGGTACAAAGAATACCAGTGAAGGAAATACAGGCAACATATGGAACAAGGAAGAATTCAGCAGGTGAAGCTTTCAAGGGTGAAAAATTAAATTTCAACCAGGGGAAGGAGATGTTTTGATTCGCAAACCCTGCTAGGCTTTGAAAGAACAGAAGGACTTCTTCAAAAGACAGAGATGGAGGAGATGAACATTTTCAAATGGGGTGACAATAAAAACAAATATCTGATGTGTTGAAAAGCAAACAGTCTCATGTGGCAAGATCGCCCACTTTCTCTCTCTTTCCCAAAACACAATGTGATGTAGGCAGCTTGAGCCAGACTGCCTGGGTTCAAATCCTGACTCCACCACTCAGTACCTTGTACAGCCTTGGACAAGTAACATGACCACTCCGTGCCTCAATTTCCACAGCCACAAAACAGTGCTACAAGGGTCACTGACGACTGAATAAAGCAATGCCCTGAGACCCCTGGGGTTGGCACATGGCGATCACTCAATAAACAGCTGTCAGCAGCAGTACAAAGAGTTTGGGACCAGTGAGGAGGGGCCTCAGTGCTCCCGAGTGTGCTCAGCTTCACCCCGCGGAGCACTGGAGGCTTTGGAGGCTACTGAGTCCACCCTGGCACCCAGTCCTCTGGTACAGCCTCTGGAGAATGCACTAACAATGTGCCTATTTACAAAGCATGTGCACTGACGGGGAAGGCCCCTGCGTTCCCACTGAAGCAGGGAGAGGAAAGTATAACGTCAAGGAAGATTCTGGAGGGAGAAATAAAAGGACATTCCTAGCAAAAGTGCAAGTAAAGAACGAGACTGAAGACTGAAGAACAATAATAGAACTACCAAGACATCTAGTTCAGCCACACCCTACTTTTTAGTTATCCATTCTCTGAACTCCTAGAATGACAGCGTGGCCGAGGGTTTGGAGGAGTGTTGCATAGGTTCTTGACCTGTTAGTGATGGACGCTTTTGTGTCTTCACAGTGCTTTGCCCAACTCAGTGAGCAGGGAGATGCTACAGAAGCTACCTCCCTCAGAACGCAGAAGTGACACGCCGAGCATCTCGGCGATGGGCCCGTGGCCACATGACACATACCTGTGTTCAAGAATTCCAATGGCTCCCCTTGTTACATGAAGCCTAATTTACTTGGTAGAAGATCATTTCACATTTGGTGACTAAGAAGCATAAATCTATTACAGATGAAACCAGACACCATGCCATGTTAATTCAGGTTCCTCTGACCTACAATGACCTGGCACACACCCACACACCACACTTAGCCTCTTTGTCCTAATTGGTGAATACAGCTAGTCAGCTGTCACCCTGACAGGGTGACCTGCACCCAGCGCCAATACATTAACCAGGGTGTTGGTTGGATTTGCTGTTTGAAAGGTGGAGGCTTATAAGCAAGTCCGTAAAACAAAAGGCACCTTGCTGCTGTTTCTATTATTCATCTCGTACCTTATGTTCCCCCCAAGTATAACCTTGGCTATTGTTCTCATCCACGGAAACGTATCATGCTAATTACATATTTCCCACTCTTTAAATAAAGTTAAACACCTGAAACTAATACAAACTATTATTAAATGTAAACTGTAATGGAAAAACAAAAAATTTTAAAAAATAAATAAAAATGAAGTTTAAAAAGAAATTTACAACTATTGATTTTAACAAGCTCCAAAAAAAGTGTTTAGACATAATGTTTGTAAATATGTGTGGGAAAAAGTATACCTAAATGCTAGCAAAGATTACCCACAACTGATGGGATTACCAGTGAGTTTTACGTATGCTCTCCTGAACTTTCAAATTTTCTCAAGTAAATAGTACTTTATAATCGGAAAATGCTTCAAGTCGTAAAGCTTCGCAGTACTAATAAAAACCTAATAATACTAAATAAATATGCTATTTCAAATCATTTCACATAACGTTACTGCATGACTCTAACTCAGGCCAAGTTCTAGACTTCATATTGTACCTTGGAAAACAAACAGGAAGAAACCAGGGAAATCGACGCTAAGCTGAAGAACCACAAAAGTTCCTCCATGCTTAGGGATTCATACATCAAATTGTCCAGGAAGAGTTTTTTCTAAAAGAGAAAAACTTGACCTAGACAATCCACAGCTTTTTAGCCTACATATAGAACATTAAAAGAACATTCATTACCTAAAAATTCTGTTCATTCATCTTTGGGGATTTTAAGTAGGAAAAAACTACAAATACCTCCATTCTTCATCTGATGGTATATTTTGTTTGGGGTCCAAATGTTAAGGAACCCAACGGTCGTACTGTGACTAACCCTCAATATTCCCATAAGAGACAAGGAGTGCTACAAAATTCTAGACTTTCTAAAGTACAAATTAGTACCGGAAGTCACTAGAAAGTTAATCTGATAGGGAAAGAAATGGCATGTCCCTAGAGGCCTGCACCGCGCCTGTGTACCAATTTCTCCTTGCGGCCAGTTAATTTCCCTGAAGAGGGGTCCTGATTACCCATTCATCCATTAGACCGGCATCTGAAGCTTCCCCGGCCGCCTGCCATGCAGGACGGCTGTGCACTGACGGTGTGCAAGCAGCAGCTGCGGGAATGGGCAGTAGAAAGAACACCCGCTAAACCCCAAGGAGACTGGCCAGTGGTCTCAACACACCCATTTCACATGGTCATCTGGATCCATGAACTCAGAGTTGAAAGAGACCTACTTCCTCCAAGATCTATTCAGAAAAAAAATGCAATTTCATGTTCCATATTATCAGCCCGTGGAACTGACAATAACGCATAGAAACATGGGTTAGAAACACGGGTTCCAGTTTCAATATGTAAATGTTTCTGAGCATGGGTGACAAAACACCTTCCCAAACTCACCTTTGACCTTGAGACCTCTGTCTGTGGTGAGCTTCTCCCTTCTCCAAGCTCAGACATTACATTGGAGCCAGATACTACAGACAATGTAGTGTGAGACATGGCAGCCTGGTCCTGGGAAAGAGATGAGATGGGGGGTGTAGGAGAGCGCAACCTCATCACACCCTCTTCTGATGTTGCTGCTTCTCTTTCGCCGAAGGTGCTGGGAGGGAGCTGGCTTGGGTCAGGTTTTTGCACAGAGGTGCTGACCGAACTGTACTGACTTCTCTTAAAGCCTTCGATGTGTCCATTGTACTTCCAAGCGTCATCCATCTAAAGAGGAAACATCATTTTAAACTTGGTATTGTTAGATTTCTGTTTTAGAATATATACACCAATATTTTAAGGCTATCAAAATAGCATATACTTGCCCCAGGAAAGTAAAGCTTACTAAAAGTTTGGAGCACATTCTTTCATACCAGATATGCACATATGTAGGAGGAGAAAGAAACTTGCGTTGTTCATTTTCATTAGTTCGGGTCAACAGATAAAACTCTACTCTTTTTTTTTTTTTTGGTACATGCCCCTAGTGGGAACCGAACCCCGGACTCTCTGGTCCTCAGGCTGACACTCCAACAGCTGAGCCAAACCGGCCAGGGCAAAACTCTACTCTTTTTAATGGTTGAATACTCAATGGTATGGATATCTACAATTCATTCACGTGATACACATTCAACGTTTAAAGTTTTCTGTAAGTTCCAAAAATACTGTAACAAATACCCACATATCTTTATAATCAGAATGTTTATTTTTATAGCACCAATTTCCAAAAGTAGATTTGCTGGACCCAAGGATATTCATATTTATAAATATAAATTATATATAATATCTTTTTTTTAAATTATGGCAATGCATTCCCAAAGTAATGTACAAGAATGTCTGGTTCTCTGCATCCTTGCCAACGCCAGACATTCTGAATCTGATGGGTAAAAAGTTGTACACCTCCTTGTTCTAATGAGGTTGAACATGTACCTGTTAGCAACCATTTGAATTCCCTCTCCCCTGAACTGGCTGTTCATTTCTATACCTATTTCTCTACTATTTATCTTTTTCTTACCAATTCTTAGGACCATTTTAAATTTTAGGGATAGTGCCCCTATATCTATAATACATTTTACTAACATTTTTTCAAGTCTATACATTATTGTACTTAAGATAATGGTCAGGAATTTCCAGGCTAGCTTAGACAAGCTTCCTTCATTTCAATTCTTTTTTTTTATTATCATATTCTCTCTTCATTTTTAGGATTCCACATTGGCAGAAGAAAAGGAACTTGAACTTTGACCTTAAGAACTGCATTGCTTCCTTTTAATTAAAATTAATACACCCATTTTCAGGTTGGTGATTCTGCTTCATGTTTAGGGCAAATGATTCCATATTCTATATTTTTTAAATTCCAATATGAATTGAAATATACATGTAATTTTTGAACATAAGATACATTTTACTAACTACACTCAAACATATCAAGTTCTAATGAAGTAGAAAATGGGGAAAAATAAAAATTTGTACATAACAACCTGAAAATATTTAGCTTAATCCATATGACATTGGTGTTTTGTAAGTCAAAAAACTGACTACCGACAACTTTACAGTGCAACCTAATACTTTACAAAAGCTATATCTGAGAAAATCTGATGCTAAAATATAAATGCTCTGCCTTAGAATATAGTTTATTCATTCTTCAAAATGTATCAGCTCTACTTCCATTGAGTTTAAAGCTTAATCAATTCTGCATCATTGCTATATTTTAAGCATTAAATGTCTGTTGACTCTATATTGGCTAAAGTAAAAATTGTGTTATACATATTATATACATCAAATATACACAACTCAAACTTCTGCACCAGTACACCAACAGTTTGCTCTTGAGAACAGCGTCTATGAACTGAGCACGCTTTCTTACCGTGTAGGATCTTGGGAGTGATGAGATTCCCCTTGACTGAGAGCCAAAAGGTCTCGGTGTGACCACAGATGTTAACCTAGCTGTATCAGATTTCTGGTAACTTCTGGGGAGAGAAGCTGAAACTCGAGTCGACTCCATTTGTGTAGTCAGTGAAGGCTGAGAAGCCAGAGAGGCTGGGCGTTGTTCTTCCGCGAGGCTTCGGGAAGGAAGCTGCGTTTCAGCTGTTAGAGTGTCCTCTCTTTTCACAAACGTTGTAGAATCTTGCTTAGGAATTTCTGCAGGGTAAGTCTTTCCCTTCTCTTCTACTCTCTCACTCTGGTGACTTGCTTCTGACATAGTCAGTGTCGGGGGAAGCTTGTCTTCATTCAGTTCATCCTCATAAGAATACATTCTCCTCCTCGAGGTCACTGCAGACGCCTGATTTCGGGATTCCCTTAGCAGAAACGGACCATAGCGGCAAAGTTATGCGTTTGGCATACAAAGGTGAAGAGACTGATCTTATTTTGATAATTAACCTACAAAATGAACTGAGAATAAAAAGACTACCAGCTTCACACAACAAGCAATACAATATTAACAGAACATGACGATAAATATGTGTAAATTTTTTATGCCACACTAAGAAATATTATAAGAGCTTGACTTTCTTTTGAGAGAGGCTCTCAAATACTTCTCAAGGACTTTTTTTGTTGTTGTAAAGATAATTTAGTAGGAAAATAAATAAAACTTTAATAAGAAATTATTCACCAAATGTATCCACAAGTTTGTAACTCTTCCAAAATTGACACACTATACATATCACTGTCTGACCGCCAATTTGAACCCTCCCAACCCTCCCAAAATGTAGATTCCTTGTCAGCAGCATTGCATTTCCTGTGTATGATTTATAATAATTTAGTAAAAAAAAAAAAAAAAAAGACTACAAAAGACACAGACTTCCGTTAAGATCAAGTTATTCTATAGTTTCATACACGATCGTAGAATTTACATAGACAGCTGTTATTACAGATTAAAAGTCACCATTCATACTCATGGAGAAAATGATGAAACAGCTTCATGTCTAGCATTTAGTATGGAGGCCCTCTCAAGCTGACTGTGTGGCATGTGAGTGAGTGAGCCTGTGTTTACCATTGGCTTCCAGGGCACAAAGGAGCTTTGTTTCATTTCACCTGACAGCACATTTCCTTTTTGACTTTATCCTTAAGGCATATTTGCCATCTCCCTGGCCTGTACACATCCCAAGCTTCCACATAGTAACTGCTCTACAGGGAAGTTTACATTTGAGCTTTATCCTGTTATGTTGCAAAGCAAAAAATAAACCCTCACAATTTATTTTTATATAACCTTCCTTGAAAATATAAATGTAGCTGAACCACTAAAACATGAAGAAAAAGGCCTTCATTATATTTTACACAGTTTAGTTAAGAGTGGGAGCTGGTTTTTATGTGACCATTCCATTCCTAAATTCATTTTAAAAGGAGGAAAAGCAAAGTTCACTTTTTGCACCAAACATAGCCAACACCACCCAATTCTGCACATGAATGTTCAGTGTACAATGAAGAAATAATGCATATCTATTTAGCACTCACTTCTTTAGTTAATCCAAGTCATTATGTAGCACAGCAATGCTTTGCTTTCTCACTGCAAAGCAAAATGCTGCAAGTTTTCTTGCATATTGGGTTCCAGTTCAATCCCTCTACACATACACAACATTCCTGTTTCTAACACGGGTCTCTCCAGCCAGAAGATTCGTTCAGCCTATTACCTGTCCTGCAGCATTTCCTCAAATGTCTTGGAGCTTCTGTCAGATTTCTCGAGGGCCTGCTTTTCAATTTCTTCCCTCTCTTCTTTTTTCTTCTGCAAATCTGAAGTGTAGCTTTTTCGACGGTCTTTCCATTTTGCAAGGTCCTGACAGAAGAAAAAAATCACATCAGCACAGGCATACCTGAATTTCTCCACACCCTTTCTAGCAGAGAGAGCGTGCCAGAGTATCCCATTACATAGCTGAAACTGCTCACTCCCGCTCGATGCCAAGGTGCCCTAATTTTGCTTTTTATAGCCAGCGTTTCTGTACCAAGCCTTTATCTCATGTGTCTGCCTAAAAAACCTGACCTAATAAGATAGACCCCATTTTTGTTTTCCTGCCTCGTTGCCCATTTCACAAAGAATGCTAACTGCTTGTAATGAGGTGTCAGGTCAGAAAGAGCAGGAGCTGTTTCAAGTTCATTTTCATTTCACTCCAATAATCTGGCTGTTACACGAAATGACATTTGTTCACTAGTAAAACTGGAAAAGAAACATGATTGTAAAAATGGTTAAACGTGGCTACACACTAGATCTCCCACCTAACAGGCCCTGAGCTCAGTCCCTGCTTTGAGGCAAGGGGTCTGTAAACACACAGATACCTCAGCGTCTCCCCCCCACCCCCCACCCCAGGAACTCTGGATCTAGAAGGGGACAGGTGACATGTAAATAAAAGTTCAACAATGAGCGTAATGGGATTGCTGAGAGAGTAGGGCTCCAAAGGAGACGGTGTTCAATTCCACCTCAGGCAGACGTCTAGAAAGGCTTCACTGGGGAAGCCAGGTTCAGTACATGACTTCAAAGCGGGGAAACGTCACAGGAGGACAGGGCAATAAGGAAGATCACCCAGGAACAAGGGGACACCTGTTTCCCATAGTCCTAGGAAGGTAAGTCTCACCTAGCTGGGAAACCCCAGGACAAGCAACCTGATTCGGCTTTAAATTAGCCCCAGCCCTCTAAGCTGGTTCTAACACCCAGGGGTTTAAGGCATTTTGAAGGCACACACTTTCCTTTGTCTCCCAAACAGAGATATTCGTACTCGGAGCCTCTAGTGTCGTTCCAGCCCACGTAGAAGCCTGTTCGAGTTCTCAGGCTAAAAGGAACCTCACCGCCCGACATGCAAAGTTAAGTTTGGTTTATGCCTTTTGGGAGGAGACCAAGCCACACCTGCCTTAAAAACAGCCTGAAACCAATATGAACTTTTATTCACAGGAAGAACAAAAGCAGTGTGCATTTTGTCCTATAGGATAACAAGTATGTATTTTTATTTGACCTAACCTAATGAGTAACTCCTCAAGACTTAGTTTCACACCCAAACAGTTAGCGTGTATTTTGGCAAAGTGACATTGAATTACTGTTTCCTGACAATTCGTTTGAGTTCCCAACTACAGGAGGCCCTGGAATTTTGAGGTGCAGCCACAGCAGGGGTTTCTCCTTCATTACTGAGGCTTCCGTTCCTTTGAAAATTAAGATTTACTCTCCCTGGCCCTTTCGTTCATGCTACCACTCAACTCTGTTACCACAAAGACGTCCTCACACTTCTTTGGGTTTGCTCTGAATAGTTTATCTGTTGTATTTCTTTACACTGCTCTGGTTTATAACAATTATCCCTTTCAAAATAGGTCAGGCTTTTTTCTGCGAGGACAGAACTACAGACTACATCTGTATCCCTACAGACACCCGGACAACAGCTGATTTGAATTCCTATTGCATGATTACTTTTCAACCAAACTATTGCCCTGAGTTATAGTTCATAGTTCTTCTTAAACCTCCTCTATTAACTCCAAGAACTGGTCACCTCGCCATGCGGATGCCCAGACCCTGTGCCAAGCCCCTGCTCCTCCCCCTTCCCAGACGTGGGGCAAAGTCCCTTCCTTTCATGAGCATCAGGAACCCCAACTTCAACGTCCAAAGCAAGTCAGAGAGTGAGCACCACTGCAACGCAGCAGCTTCTCATATTTTGAGAACTCAGAATATTACAAGAGAATCATCCTATTGTGTTTTTGCAAAGTGGCCTTTAAAATAGATGACCATAATAGACCCAAAACGTTTAAAAACCTCTCTCAAGGAAGTTGATCAGATTTTCTACAAACCTGAATTCTTTAATAGCAAGGAAAATCATCTCTTGAGTAGACTGACTTTCTTTGAAGGGAAGCAGAGACGCCGCCAACAAACACACTGCCCCTGTCTCCCCATCTCCCAGTACAAAGGATACTCACATCCTGCCATTTCTGATCTTGCTCTTTCAATTGCGATTTCATTTTCTGCATCTCCTCGTAACGCAGCTGACGCAAGTGCTGCACGTCCTCTGCGCTGACATCGCTCATGGACTTGCTCCTAGAACAACAATACCCATGGTAACCAAGGTTCACATGACCGGACTTCGGGTTAAAACTGAAAGGTTGGGCTTATACTTGGAAATTCCATCTAAATTTCTGCCGTAGCACCTAGACGCTGTAGCGATAATACCACAGAAATAGCACTACAGAGATAAATGGTGTTTTTCCAAAACTCAGAAACCAGAGCCTCGCATGCAACCCAAGTGTGAATTCTTTCACAAAATGGCTAAATGAAACCTGCACAGGTCTGGGGGGAAAAAAATAATCCAAAGTTCATTATGTAGAGTGGCCTATGCGTAACAGAATTATTTCAGAAAAAAAAAATTATTATTTGTCACTAGAATCATTTGTCTTTATTTTTCCTTCTCTCCCCAAGATCATCTTTTAAGGTTTGGCTGCCTTTTCTGAGCACTTATTAAATAATTTAACGACTACCTGATATTTTCTCCTCAAGTTCAATACCATGAATGCATGTGCTGCTTTTTCTCAGAGATTCTGTAGGATCTGCCCGCCATTGCCCTGGACTTGTTCTCAAAGCACCAGGGGTAGCTCCTAATATCAAGTTATGATATAACCTGCACAGTTCTCTGTTTTATTGAGTCGGTTTCCATGTCTTCCATGGGTGATCCCTGCCATGAGGATGCTCTGAGGGTTAGGTCTCTCAGAGCTCAATCTAGAGAGGAACCAATGAAGAGAACGGGGTGCTAGACAGGAGGCACAGGTGTGCTGTGTACATGCACCCAGAAAGGGATGAAGTAAACGGCCATGGAGAAGGTGAAACAGGAAAAAAGAGAGGCGTCAGATCTGAGTTTTAAAGAGCGGGTAGGATTTCGCAAAGAGAGAGAGACAGAGCTTTTGAAGGTGGGGTGCCCAAAATGCCCTTTCCTACAAATCTTCATAAGGCACTCTGATTGTATTTCACTGTCAGCGACCCCACCTCTGTTTGTTTAAGTATTGCTACACCTCCTCCTTGGGCCCCTACACTGTGTTTGCCCCTGGACTTCGCCGTCACCGCATTTCTTTCCTTACATGCTTGCCCTTAGCCAGCTCAGGAATTCAATTATAACCTCTATGCAAATGACTTCCCAATCCACAGGCTAGGACCCTTTCCTCAGACTCCATTCTAATTGCTCATTAGATAAACATCTCTGCATGGATATCCCCTAACCACCTAAATTGTAAAAATGACCAACTGAAATAATATCAAAAGGGATTCTATAAACAGTAACTCACTAAACACATGGGCACTGTAGGGAAGCCAAACTCTGTTCTGTCCCCGAATCTGCTTTTCCTCCTATTCTGTTCATGGTGTTACCTGCCCTCCAATCATCCAAATCTGAAACCGAAGAACCATTTTTTACCTTTGCCTCTCCCTACTTTCAGGTAGTTATCAAGTCCTCTTACTCAGTGTCTTTTTCTTTCCATTTCTATTGCCAACACCCTAGATCAGAGCACAGTAACTCTTAACTAGACTTTTAGAAAAGCTGCTTAAGTTATCACCCAGACTCTGAATCCAGTGAAGGTCTTTCCTCAACTGTTCCCTCCACTCAAAAGCCCTTCCCCAAAAGCCCTTCCCCAGTATATATGTTGTTTTTAAATATCTTTTTACCGCTTTATTTTTAGACAGAGAGGAAGGGCAAGAGAGAGAGAAATATCAATGTCAGAGAGAAACATGGATCAGCTGCCTCCTGCACGCCCCCTACTGGGCACTGAGCCCACAACCTGGGCATGTGCCCTGACCAGAAATCGAACTGGGACTTCTCAGTCCATGGGATGAGGTTCAATCCACTGAGCCACACTGGCCAGGTTCTATATGCCATTTTAAAGGCCCCTCTGTCCTCAGGAATCCTGCTGCACTAAACTCCAGATGGGTGTATGCAGCATCCACTTGGAAGTCTAACAGGCAATTCCAAAAGTAACTTGTCACAGACCAAAAACATGGCTGCTCGTTGTACAACCTGCTCACCTCCCATCTTCCTCATCCCAGTAAAAATCATCTCCACCATTCCGGACTGCAGGCCGACTCTCAGCGTCATCCCAGACTCCCTTTTCCTTTCATACATAACTGATCCCATCAGTGAACCCCGCCACTCCACCTCATAAATATATCTGGGACACAACCACTCCTCACCACCTCCACCATTGCCACACTGATCCCAGCTGCAATATCTCCTGCCCGTGTTATCACAATAATCAGGCTCCCTGCTTCCACCTCTTCCTGCCAACAGTGTATTTCAACACAGCAGACAGAGGAGTCTTCAAATCTGCCCTCAGATCATGGCATGCATCTACTCAACACCCACCAGTTCCTTCCCAGCTCACTCGAGTCACAAACAGATCCTATCAAGACTTTCAGGGCCCAACCATGACCTGGCCCCTGCCTACTTCTCTGCACTCAACTCCTGAAATGCTCTCCTCCACTCACTAGGTTACCACTCACTGGCTTCCTTGTTCATGCTCATATACGAGCTCTTCACCCAAATATCCACATGGCGTTTCTCACTCCCAGTCATCTGCTTATATGTTCCTCCGGGTTTCCTTCCCTGACCACCCTACAGAAAAACAGCACATGTCCCTCTCCCCTGGGTCACCTTTCTCCATAGCATATATTGCCAAATATCACTGGCCTTGTGCTATAAAATTACAAAGTAGGAGCTGTGTCTGGTTTGTTTTTTGCTGTATCACCTGTGCCACATAGAATGCCCAGCCCATGGTGGGTACTCATAAAGGCATTAATGATCTAGATAATATTCTAACACTGTGCTCAAGTCTTCCGGGCTCTTCCATGCCAAAGTGGTCTGTCTGTCCCTTCTCCCAACTCCTCTAGTGCTTTAGCTCTGCCTTTCTCATGGTACTTAACACTCACATATGGTGCACATAGTGTGTGCACAAGCGTGCACACTGGGCTTGGCTCCCTCACGGGTGCACGCGTTGCTTGGGAGGAAAACACATTAACATAGCACAAGGCATACAGGGAACACTTACTTAACATCTGTGGTAAGAATGAGGAGTTTTATCATATTTAATCAAGGCGAAATAAATTTGGAATGTTTCTAATTTTTTGAGAATTTATGACTCCTTCCGAAATTTTTATAAAGAAAGCATTATAGGATTTATCAAGGGATACTAAAGAATTACATGTAGAAGTATATGAAGTTATATATGACATTATATATTGCCTTAGTAATATAATATTACTTAAGTAGGCATGACTATATAAAACCAATCTGTGTGAATTTGAGGATGTACATTTTCTTGATTCATAAGTGTAAAGAATAAGGCTATTTCAGCTGATACTATAACAGACTCACTACAAAGAAGAAAGGAAAAATTTTCAAGATCAAGGCGTGAGGGAATCCAGGGACTTAAAACAAGTGGTTACAAAAATTCCAGAACAAAAATGGAAATGCAAATATAATAATCTTTGGGGGTGGGGGGCTGGATGGTCCCCACTGGCCCTGACTTGTACACTGGCGCTCTCTGAGCCCTCATCCTCCTGCACCGAAAAGCCTTAACCCGTGTCTTTTCAGAAAACATGCTCCGCATGGGCATTGGCTGCAGGGTCCTCCTGAGAGCCCATGGCACAGAGCCCGGCACACAGACAGCGCCCAACATGAACAAAGTGAGCGAAGCACCCCGAGGAGCGGACAAGTTCCTGCGTAAGGCAGGGATGCGAGCTCCTTCCGTCCCCGAGGGTGCACAGCGCCCCCTGCATAGAGCCTACGCACTTTGCCTGCAGGCTGAGCCAGGCCCCAGAATGAGACAGAAGTGAGGGCTCCGGGCCTGGCTGTAACACACATGTTCACCCTAAACTAACATCATGTCACTTCTCTGAGCCTCCGTCCCTCGTGTGCCAAGCAAGGAAGGGATTGTTATGAGACTTGGGTAAGGGTACATTGACTGCATTTTAATACCCTCTGGTGCTATACACCAACTCTTCTTATTTAAGGCAAATATAACTGTGTGGGATCTTCTGAAAACTAACTCCCAGTGCAGTTGCAAATGAGAGAGGTCATTCCAGGCCACACCGATAAAATCTAGAACTTTTGGAGTGTTTCGGCCAGATCATGAAGAATTCTCTCTTTCCTTACCAGAGTGAAGAGCATAATAAACTTCTGAGGGCTCACTGGGTGCCAAGCAGCCCACCTGGATCATCTCATTAGACAGAACCCTCAGTCTGGTTCTGCCGCTCACTAACCCGACGTCGCTGGGAAAGCTGCAGTATCTGTTTCCCTTTCTCCGTGTTCCTAAAATGCACATGACACCCCCTGTCTGCCTCGCAGAACTGAGATGAGCACCCGAGACGGTCCCAGGTAAACTGGGTAAACTGTAAGAGACTACACACTCTGATATGTCGTAGAATGAATTATTATTCCCTGGACATCACAATTCTTGTCATTCATTTACTTGCCTTTGTATTCGGAAAGGCTTCAATTTAGAACTGCATTTGGATATTTAAAAAAAAAAAAAAAAATGACAGGTCTTTGAGCAACCGTAACCCTACTTGTGCCCCACACATGTTGCCTTTTCCGCTGAATAGAATGTTTATCAGCAGTTAGGGTAAAGAGAGAAAGAAGGAGAATGGCTAAGGAAGGTGCCAGATATAAAACAGTATTACTAAAATCTTACTCTCTTCTCCCTTGATGCTGATCAACTGCTATTTTCCTGGCACTTTTTGACCAGTGTTAAGATGCGTATTATTTTCAAACTCAATTTCAGAAAATTTATAGGTGAATATCTAAGGAGTAAAGGATCAAAAAGGACCGACATGTAGTAAAATTTCCTTAATATAAAAATCACTGAAATTCCATGATAGTAAGTTAGGGGGCCCCAGCCTTCAGAGGAAGAGATATATATACTTATTAATGTACCTCCAAATATAGGGTGGGGCAAAAGTAGGCTTACAGTTGTGAATACAAGAACCATGGAGTTTATTCTTGGATTATTATTTATTAATTATTGCATTATTTTCCATTTGAGCAACCGTAACCCTACTTGTGCTCCATACTGTATACCTCCAATTAGGTGTTGTAAGAATTCACTAAAGAACAATCAATACTAAACCTGGGTAAGAGACTTCAGAACTACCATAAACTAGGATAATAATAAACAATGTAAAGGAGACTTTTCATTTATAGGTTTATAGTCTAAGTCAAGGTTTCTCCACAGCAGTATTATTGACACTTGAGGGCCAGAAAACTGTTTGTGGTTGGGGGTTGTCCTCCATATTGAAGGACATTTAGCAGCACCCCTGACTATAAAGGCACTAGATGCCTGTAGCAACAGCTGCTCCCCAACAGCTCACCCAGCATGTCAATCAAAAACATCCACAGACATTGCCAAGTGTCTCCTGGGGGCAAAATCCCCAGAAAGTAACTCACATCAACTTTATTTTCTTTTTATTTTTGTTGTCTTGTGTGTCCTTATAGTTCTACAGAAAGTTTTAGCTGAAATCTACAAGTGAGATAAAGGTATCTTAGTGGCCTTTGATTACAACTTCACCTTGAGACAATGTTCATGTCCTGTTGATATTTGGCAGCAGATTCAATGGCTTCATCATATTACAAAACTATATCTATGTACCCTTACAGTTTTCTTTGTCATAAGAACTTCCACTAAGAGGCATCATAACCAAATTTTCAAATGGCAGGAAACCATACAGACATAAGTTCATGCAATACAAAAGCACACATGTGAGAAATGACTGCCACACACAAAGCATCTTACTAAAAATAAACAAAGGGACAGGTGTTAAACATCAAATAGAAAGCAAGCCAGAAATTAATACTCCAAGACTTCAAAAGGTAATGCACATTTCTCTTTAACCTGATCCTTACCAAAAAAAAAAAAAGCATTCATTATTTTTCAACCACAGGATGTTGAACAATAATGATTTTCCAGGTTATGTCCAAAGAAATATCAGGTGTTTTATGTTTATAAATACTTACAAACATCTTTATAAGCATGAAACAAGTTTCAGATTAAAAGCCTATATTCAATCCACTTTTTTTGCTTTCATCGCAGATCAATTTAAGAAAAACATTGGTAACTGATAGAATATAGAAAAAAATACCACATAATAGATTTTGATGGCAAGTGGTCTAAAACGCACTTGAGTTTTGTGAAGATGTATTTGTATTTGTGTTGCTTTCCATTTTTGACAAGGTAAGCATTATTCATCAGTATCAATTTATAATCTTTATTTCTGTTGTTACTTTGGCACTAAGTTGCCGTTAAAACAAATACTGTACTCTGCAAGCAGCGGTCTTGAAATTGTCTACAGGAGGCATTTGCTGCTGCTAGCAATAGCCCAGAAAAAATCCTCAGCTTTCTGAGCCTCAGCATTTAGGTTTCTCTTTTTCCTTAACCCAGTTATATAATGTATCCCCAAAGAGGAATATATACCATCATTAAAATAACTCTACATGTTTCCATTCCTGTCAAGTGACTTGTACCCAGGGTACTTATGTCCACTTTAAGAAAAACAACCTGTTTACATTATAAAGTCTTATTTACCAGTGAAAATTCTTCTGAAAGCTAGCATTCAAAATGCTTGAAGCTGCAAAGAGATTTTTCATCAGGTTAAAACAGCTCTCCCGTGATGAATCAAGATTAGCAGATGCTTCAGCATCATGCTGAAGTTGCCGGTTCATCCTCACCGATGAGAATGCTTTCAGCACCTGAGGAGCTGGGTGGGGGATAACGATGCTCTGCTGGGCACACTGACAGCATGCTGGGAGCCTGATTTTTTAAATCAGCAACCCAGACGCACTTGCAATTAGTTGCCCATGGTTCAGTTACATCTTTGATATCCGGAATGATTATATTGCTTTAAATAGCCATTTTAGCAACTTGCAAGATCTCTACACTATCGAATCATCCAAAGCTATCGAAACTAGAGACTCTTAGAGAGTAAATAAACCCCAGTAGGGAAATATACTCAGCTACTAGGTCTTAGGCCTTAAAATTAAAATATTTGATTAAAGATCAAGATTAAAATATTTAACACACAAGTTTTCCTCTTGCTCAAAAATATTATCAGTTAGATTCACAATGTTATAGAAAGTTTGATGGAAAATATGTATTTATATGTAGGCACCTGGTTATTTTTCACTAAGAATAAATGATTCTACACAGTTAGTACAGTATGTAGTAAAAAGTAAAAGTAGAATTTACTTTTAAGTTTATTCTTCTGGAAATGGGAAATATTCCCAGAAAATTGCTTTTTATAATATTTTATGTCTACAACGTGATTAAAATTTTTAAAAGCAGTAGACAGTCATTAAGAATTAATTATAAACATAGTCCTTGCAATAATATTGGAAGCTACCAAGATTTTAATTTGTGCAGTTTTGAAAGGCTAATTTGACTCTATAACCCCGGAATCCTGAAAATGTTTCCAAATCCAACTACAGGAAGATTAACAGCATTCCCTATCCAGAGTAAGAAGGCTCCCCCTAAGGTAGGAGTGTGGAGATAATGCAGCTGCATGTATTCCAACCTCAAAGTAAATGCTGATATTCTCCTTCCATCATAGATTTTCTAAAATGCACTTATGTGGTCTTCAACATCTAAAAATGAGAACTTAGGTCTATCTAGCAATCAAATACTAAAATAAATATACCTAATCTTAGTTGAGTGCTTTTGTTCTTTTTAATCAACTCCTTTAAAAAAAAAAAAAAACCTGAATTTTGAGCTTCTAATAAAACAATTCTATTGTCATATAGCAGTTCATGCACTGAGCCCTCAGACATATTACCATTAGGTTGCTAAATTTACAAAAATATCCCATTTTAAAATCTCATGCACAGCATACAGCTCCCGTTTGGTCACATGCCAGCACAGAAGAGCGATGACACATTATGCAAAGGACAGACAGGGTGCACAGATTTCTTTTTTACTGCAAACCACAAAACTTACCCATTCTCACCATAAATCTTTTGAAAGAGTCTAAGGGATCAGAAAACCAAAAATTAAAACACATGTCTTCCAGTGTGTTATATTTTCTAAATGTTCAACTTTTTTAACTTAAGAGTTTAACAAGAGATGGACAAATCTCAAAAGGTTGTTTCTCCAGTCACATTCTTGATCATGTCTCAAACTGTCATTGATCTCATATCTCAAGGAATTCACATTAAGCAAGATCAAGAGTTTGCTGATTTAACTTGAACTAACAAACCCATAACAAAAAGTCTTCCAATGCCAGGAACTAACACAAAGTTAGATTTGCATCTACTAATTTTATTCAACCTAATCACATTTGCCCATCCCAAAGTTCAACAAACCGAACAGTCATCACACATCAGTTGCATAACATATAAATGCGTTCATTATCATAAAAATGGCCATAAGTACATACATGTAAAATTTAGCAGACAGTAAATAATATTCATGCATTTTAATCAAGGTTGCACTGAACTTTAGAACTATAAATTTACAAAGTCATACACACATAGTCCAAGAAACCGCCATCAAAAACGAAAATCAAGTTAAATGAACTTTGCAATGCCATATTTTAAGAAAAATTTTTACACAAAAATCATACACTCTAAAATAAGAAACAACATAAAACCAAACTACAACCAGACTGTTTCAGAAATGCCTGGACGTGAGAATGAAGTCTGCAAATGTAATCGGAAAATACTCTCATGAACACTGCATTGAGGAATAGTAACATACTCTTCCTTAAGACCAAAAGCAAGGACTGTGTACACACCTTCTTCAACAGGCCTCAAATAGGCAGCCTAGAGATGTGCAAATATGGAATTGCACTTTTTTCCATAAAATGTGCACAGGTTTCCCAAAGCAAAATAGAATTTTAGAGGATACTTCAAAATGGCTCCTGGCATGCATTTGGGCAACACGATGCCACTTTCTCACACAAGGAAAGTAACACAAGACCATCCATCCATTACAAGCAACACCCTTGCAGAAACACACTCTGACCTCTCAACCATCAGCCGTTTCCTGTGCCTAAGCCTGCTGGCCTCCCGGATGGCCTCCCACTTCTGGAAGTCCGCCTCACTGCAGGGACCAGGGGTGAAACTGATGGGAGGCACGGTTGTTCCCAGCTTCCAAGACTGGATCCTACGAGTCAACATGTCATCCTTCTTCTGCCGATTCGAAGGAACTAATACTCTACAGCTATTAATGATACTTTTTTCTTTGGAAGGGCATGTCCTTTCAAGTACAGAGAGAAATTTTGCTTGAATTTCTGGAGGAAGAGTCCAGGGATCAGGGAAAGGGACTGGTTGGTATCTGTCGGGGGCCCCGGATAGAGGCACCTCTTTCTTCTGCGCTGGAATTCGGCGAACAATCATGTCATCTTTTTCTAGATCTGGAAGTACAAGTTCACCTTCTCTGCACTGCAGAATTATATCTCGCTCTACAGGATCATCGTACTGGGAAAATCTTCTGAAATCACTGAAAGCCTGGAGAACACCGGGATTGGCATGGAAAGCCCCAGTCTTTCTGACAAAGAAATCATCATTCTCTAGGTCAGGATCAAGGGCTGACATCTCCAGGTCGCCTCTTCTATACCCTGGTGCATAAGAGAGGTTCTTCCTGCGAGTTATGAGCCTCGGGCCAGCAGTGGGATCAATTTTGGTATTTGTTTCAGAAGATAAGATGTCATCAGAATATGTTTGGAGGGCCTGAAGTAATAAAAATGGACTGAAGCATAGAAAAGAAAAAGGAAGGGAGAGTCTTATTAAGCTTATTAAGGAGAACAGATAATTAGGTAGCAGACCAACTAGCCATTATTGTGTTATTTTAGGGGGCATGGGAGGGAACTCTTGTGTGGAAGACTCGCATTTAATGCCATCATCTGTGACTTTGCCAGATACCACTTAAAGAAACAAGAGCTGTGCCCGGTCAGTGTGGCTCAGTGGTTGAGCATCGACCCATGCACCAAGAGGTCACTGGTTCGATTCCTGGTCAGGGCACATGCCCAGATTGTGGGCCCAATCCCCAGTGGGGGCATGCAGGGGGTGGCCAATTGATGTTCTCTCTTGTCAATGTTTCTATCTCTCTCGTCAATGTTTCTATCTTTCTCTCCCTCTCCCTTCCTCTCTCTCTAAAAGCAATAAAGAGAAAAAAAAATTAAGTCAAACAAACAGGAAAGAAACAAGAGCAGAGTGTACATCCCAGGAAAGGTGGGTACCAAATAGGTCAAGTGATGGAGCCAGAACTAGACAGAGTCCACCACCCTGAGACACAATACAACACTCGCTTTGATCTCTTCCTCACTCCATGAGCCACAATGTCCTCCTCTCGTCCCAGAGAAGCAGCAATGACCTTGGAAAGTGTTAAGAGTTGGTCAGAAGAAGCACTATATGAAATAGGCACCAGTAGGAAGCAGACATTTAAAAACTAAAATGCTCTGAAGCTACGTAAAAGGCCCTGATGACTCTTTTTCTTGTATTTTCCCACCTGACTTGCCTGCCCTAGTGTCTATTTCAAAGGTATTTCCTTTCTCTACATCTCCACACATAGCCCAACTAGGTCCATTTCCCCCGGAGAGCCTTTTACGAATGGTTTTCCAAAAGAGCTGACTATGTTACATGCTACTCTATGTTATCTTATTGGTTATTATGCCAAAGAAGAATACTTAATTCTATAGACTTCTGAGCTTACATGCCCCCACAGAAAGCAACATGTTACACATTATGCTTCTATATACTAAATATTAAGTGAGTAGTTTCATGATCCAACCCGTCGTGGTCAGAGGTTAATGTAGCATCAGAAGCTGGCACGGGGGTTGCATGCCAGACTCAAAGCAGGAAGGCTCATGCAGGCAGGTACACCTGGGCTCATCCGAAGCACCACGGGCTCTCCCGGCCGCACGGGTGTCCCTTGCGTTCCTGGCCCGTCTGGTAGCTATTTCCATCAAGAGTGAACGTCTTTGGCAGTGGCTGTCTAGCCTATGCTCTGCTTTCTGTATCCTACTAAAAAAGTCAGAGCCTGAATCCTCCTCCTCAGAGTCTGGCTTCCTTCTACTGTAGAAAGAGGCAGAGAAAGGGAGGAGAGAGGGAAGACAAAGGATTGGAAAAAAATACATATAACGAAATGATGTCAAGCAACGACTATGTATAGAAGAGGACTGTTAAGATCCAGATCCCAAATTTACATTTAAATCACCTTTGGGGGCAGTTACAGAGGTTCTATAGATGTTGGAGAAAAATGAATCAAGCTCGCTTGTAAAAAGCACACACAGGAGGTACCCAGCCAGGAGATTGAATGATCACTGGACTAACAGAAACAGGCATTAAACACAAACCTGAATCCCTGAAATTCTTTATACCATGGTTTATAAGTTTCCCTTTTTATTCTTTTCCAGTTCACATCTTCTGGGATCCAACATTTGGGAAGAAACTGATCAAAAGTATTCCCTGGGTTTGGCACGATGGGACTTAGCTTTCGTACATATAGATCATCCTTTACGGTGTTGGGTATGCTTGTCTCTTCCTCCTCCTCCAGGTAACATAAGTAGTTTGAAGTTCCTGGTACTGTTGGCCAGTTCTCCGTGTCTGTGCCCCAAGTTCTCCTCTCGTTACTGTTCAAAACACCCAACCAATTAAGATACTGCATGATCAACGTGTGACAGAGAACACAAAAGGCATGCTTTCTGGCTCACAAAGTGTACACCGCTGTAAATGAAACAAATTAGCTTTCATTCTCCCCCTACAGCTCCTAGAACAAAGTGAAGGCATTACCACAGCATCTCATCTTAATTAGAGAATAGCACGACACATGCGGGCCAAAGATAACAATAGGTGTTCAAAGAGAAAACCTGGGGTGTTACTTTATGTATTAAAATCAACTGAATGGACATTTGGACCCAGGAGAAATTTTTCTGACCTCGTCAGTTTGTGTAGCCCTGTGGCTACAGGATCAGCAGGAGAAAATATTTGTGCCCAAGGACAGAGAGTTTTCAAGATGATGTGCTCCAGCCTCTTTTTCACTTGGAATCGAAGGTTGGCGAGGTCATCCAAAATGACATCAGACAACCTTCACTCAGCCTTGGAGTCCGATCCTCTTTCAGAACCATATGCCTCCGGACCGGAAGCTGGATTTGAAAAGTTACACCCTGCTCTGCTAATTTGATGAGAAATTAGAGGATTTTTTCTGTGTCCACTGAGATCAGTCAACACAGGTGGGGGGCGTGAGGGGGGGTAGACACAGCACAGCTGAACACACAAGAAATAATACAGGTCCTTCAGCAAGCTGAAAGATACCAATAAGGCTAAAGCCAGGCATGTAAAAAAAAAAAAAAATCAGCACATCACATGCTAACATGTTAAAATGGAAGAAATATCTTCTAGATATGTATGACTAGAAATGAAGAGGAAAAAAGTTCTCATTAATAAAGTTTAAAATATGATCTAGAAAATATGGTTTACAAAACCATTCCTTTTACCACATTTAAATATCCCAGCAAGTTCACAAGCACAGGAAATCCTGACACTCAGCCATCACAGCGCCTCGCAGTACCTCGGAAACGTCCCATCGGCTTCCGCGCAGACGGGGCTGGCCCAGCTCCTCCTGTTGTCCTCGTGTCTGTCCGGCTTCTTCTTCCTCAAGGGCGCAGGCACGTAGGACGGCTGTCTGCTCTTGTTGGGTAAGAAACGATTGAATGGCAAAGCAGACTTTGGTTCAATAGCCGAAATCCTTCGATAGGACATATCGTCTTTATTGTAATCCTGCATTTTGAATGTAAATTCAGAATCTGTGTCACTTTCAAAACCTGTAGAAATAAAAATCAAAATCAAAGGGCTAAGAATTGGCTTTACTCTCCCGATCATTTGTCTCACTGAAACCCACACTGCATGCCTGCTTCGTCTCTCCCTGGGAAAACCAGAGCTCCACTGCGAACTGTGGGGAATATTTTTAGACATTTGTCCTGAAGTTGTGATAAGATCCATTAGGAGGAACTTGCTTTGCATACTGGAGGTGCTGCGGTACATTCTTCCACTGTTGCACATTCTAAGCAGAAAAAGTTCCGATTCACAGCTGAACCCCTTTTCTTTCCAACGTTCCTTGCCCATATCATTGTTCCCAAAAAATGTTGATGGAATACATGTCAAAGCCTAATAATCCATGTCAATAAAAAAAAAAAAACTTCAAATGAGATATAAAAGTAAATCTAGGGAGACAGTAATTTAAAATAAAGCATGCAGCCATCTAAAATTTCTACGAGGCAAGAGATAAGGGAGGACATAGAAAAAGAAGCAAAAAGCACAAGAGATCATAAAGGGGGTCAGCAGATCCTTCTGAGACCCCTATGAGCAAGAATCACCCCTTAGATATGAGATTGGACCAAATGAATTCTAAAGTCCCAAAGGAATGTCAAGTCTCCTACTAAATGAGAACACAGAAGTCAGGCTTTTTCTAAGAGTGGCCATGGAAACTGTATTTAAACACAAATTCATTTAAACACAGATTCAAAGGAATACACCTTGATACACCTCAAGGTCAGACTGATACAAACACAAATCTGTCTCTTAAAAACAAATAAATAAATGTGCCCTGTGAAAGGCAGGAGGAAAAGAGGTACAGAACACTACTACAGACCCAAGCTAAGTTGTCTCCCTTTCCTGCCCTTGTTTCCTTCCTGCCTCTGTGTATTTGTAAAGAACTGTTTGCTACCCTGGCTTGCTTCCCACCAGGGCGCTCCCAGGCTGACGCACAGTTCCTGAGTCCCCCAGAACAGGGAGTGCTCAGCACACAGAGCGCCTGCAGGGTTAACCTGAGCTCCAGGCGGTCTCCTTGCCTCCCTCCTACCTGGTGGGAATCTACAGTAAATAACACTGAGAATGGCTACAGGTAGTGGTTTAACTTACAGCTACAGCACCCTGGCCAGGAGACCTCTACAGGGCAAAGGAGAGACACGGGGAAAAGGGAGAAATTTAAGCAGCTCATGCCAGGAGGATTTCTAGCCAATGGCAGGGTGCTTCATTTCTTTTTACCACCTCCAACAGTACATATGACAGTGTTAACCATGGTCATCATGTTGTACATTGCGTGAATTTTTTAAGTTATTATTTTTTTATTTTTTAGTCTAGTACAGTGCCCTATATTCTTGATATAGGAGGTTTTGTATAAACCTAAGGATTTGACTTTGCAATTCTTTTATTTATTTATTTATTTTTATTTATTTATTTTTATCCTCACCCAAGGATATTTTTCCATTTTTTGTACAGATAGAGTGGGAGGGAGAGAGAGGAAGGGAGAGAGAGAGAGAAACATCGACATGAAGGGACACATCGAGTGGCTGCCACCCACACGACCAACCAGGGCCGGGGACAAACTGCAACCTAAGTACATGCCCTTAGCGGGAACCGAACCCGGGTCTCCGCTGAGCCAAACTGGCCAGGGCGACTTTGCAATTCTGTTAACCTAAAAACCTTATCCTAAGTTGTGGTGACCATCAATCTTGGCCTATAACCTGGTAGGTGGCAGAATTTTAATACACTGATCACAAAACAAGGATTATCATCCTGGTGGCCCCCAGGCTTTTTTATTACCCCTTAGTTATAATTACCAAGTCTTCCCTTCCACACTCTTTAAAGGAGGTCTGTACTTCTGTTCCCAGGATCAGGAGGCAGTGTGACAGCACCCTCTGTTTTGTCACATGTACCGGCATCCAATCCGATGACTGTCTGGGAAGACCTCGATTCCACACCACAGGACCACTGTCTCAAGTCTGCATATCCCTGCAGTGCCTCAACCCTCCTCCCTCTCATTGTTTGTTGGCCAGATATAAATTGAAACTATCAAATGTTTTAGCTTCTTTAATCAGGACAAAGTAATAGAATGAGTTCAGAATTTCAGCCTCTGTTTTTTACAGCTAAGTTATAAATCGAATTCATTTCCCTAAAACTATTATAATAGTCATCTAGACTATACATGTGTCACACCTAAATAGCAAACAGCCAACAACTGCAGCAGTAATTAGAAAGTTCAACTGCTCCATAGCCATTCATCTTGTTTACTGTTAATTTTTATGTCATTACTCTAAAAGCTGAAGAACTTTTCTGTGACCACGCTTGACTATTTGTTGATTTTTATTTTTGAAAGACAAATGCACTATACATTGCGTTTATGTACACTTACATAAGAACAACAAATGAAGATTGAATTCTAGTTAATGATGTGCATGCTGACATATTTAGGACAAGTGCAATGTACTCTAAAATGCCTCCAAAAATAAGATGGATAAACTAATGCAAAGAGAGAGAGGAATAGGTAGGTGATGAAGCAGGCATAGTAAAATGTTATGGTCAAGTTAGGTGGTGGGTACATGGATGTTCACTGGAATTTTTCCAAACTTTGATGGTATTTGAAATTTTTTATAATAAAAATGTTAGAAAAAATCATGTACTATTAAAACAATAATCAAAACAAACAAGTGAAATTCCTAACAATCTAGCCCAAATTCTCAATTTTTTTTCACATCAATGGTAGAAGCATGGAAATATCTGAAGCAACTTTACTTGTGGTTCCAATCAAGCAAAATTTGAATCACTAGAGGTGTAGCGTCAGAAACATCTCATACCACCCAACAGCCACAGGAGTAAGACTTGCATTTAAATAACTGACTTGACCATAACATTGGTATTTTGAAAGAAGGTCCCTCCCCACAAAAGAATAACTCTCATTAGCATGTTCCTTTCATACTCTGCCCTGGATTCGCTCTGATCCAGACAGGATCAAGAGATGTTTTCTAACACCACGCTTACATTGTTACTTAACCAAAGTTTAGCATAGTATTATATCATGAGAGATAGCAATCATTTCTTCTCTTAGAGATCATTAAAAAGATGTCTGGCCTGTTTTTTTCTTGAGAAATTCTTTTATCTTTTGGGGAAGAGTAAGAGAAGGGAAGAAAGAACAGAACAGGAATTAGAATAGACATTTTAAAATCTTTTTTTTTTATGTTTTGCTATGCCAGTTAATAGGCCTCATAGACACAGATTATTAAACCTGAATCTGGAGAGAAAAGAATCAAAATACATTATCACTGATAAAACAGACCACAGTTAATGGTCTCCTCTTGTCTTCTCTAAAAATTGGAAGAAGAAAAAGTGAAACCTTCACCCCTCTAGTGGTGATACAGTGAAGAAGGAAAGAAATAGTATTTAATTACACTTAAATCTCTATGAAAATCTACTTCTTGGTGAAATTTTTGCCTCAATAGTTTCACCCCATTTTTCTACTCTCTCTCATCCCAAATTTTCTCTTAACATGCAAACTAATAAAAATAAACTGCCAGTCAAAAATGCAACTCACCTTCCCGTCCCCCCCTCAGTGTGGTATCAGAGGAGCAGCTTGTGAATGACCTAGACCCCAAAGAGTCCAAGCTTTCAAATGAATCTTCTCTCTTATGGTTGCCTGGAGGAACAGGAAATTCTCCCCGCTCAGCACACCAGATATCCCCGTAACCACTGTCCCTGCCACTTCTTTTCAGGCCGCCGGAGTCCTCAAGTACCTAAACAAACAGGGAACAGAATGATGAACCTCAGAGAGAAGGGGGGAGGGGTTGGGAAGAGATTAACCAAAGAACTGCATAATCCATGGACACAGACAATAGTGCATGGGGGTGAAGGCATGGGGTTGGGAGGGGTGTAGGAGCAGGGTGAAGGGTGTCATTGGGGGGGGGGTGAAGGGGGCATCTGTAATACTTTCAATTAAGATTAATTTTTTTAAAAACAATAATAAGTTAGCATAAAATTCCAAAACTGTAATCAACCATTACTTATTTGCATAGCTCAAGCTGTGCTTTATTTGATAGGTAAGGCCATGAGGTTTCCCTGTTAATCAAAAAATCTGATGGAAAAAAATCAGAAAATAAATCTGTTTTCCCAAAACTAATGGTTGGTCCTCATGTAATAATAAGGAGATACTCAATATTACTTAATAAGGTAGTAGAGTCTTTATAAAAATAAGGAAAGGGGGAACATTTTAATGAGAAAAAGCCACTAATTAAATTAATATACTAAAATCAATGATTATTTAGTTATTTGGCAACAAAAAATAATGGAGTCAAAGAGAATAATTGACATTAACTTTGATATACAAAGAAGGTAAACTAATTAAATATACTCAGCCTACTTTCAGCAAATATTTCAGATGATATATATTAAACAAATAAAAAATTAAAAAGTTCCTTAACAGAAAGTTTAAAAAAGAGAGGGCAAGTATAGCAGGTATACATGTCACAGAAATTTATTTCTTTTCACTGATAATGAAATCTAGACCTGAACCAAGAAAAGCAGATTTGCTGACATACAAAATATTTTCTCTGGATCTAAATAAAGTATCTGCTTGGCTAATGTAAGAGATATATAAAAATATGGCAAATGTCATTAACCGCAGGTTTATAAATCATATAGCGCTTACACAAAATAAGTGTTTTTAACTAATATTCTTCTATGAAAGTAAATAACAAAATACAACTAGACTTCTTAAAATTAGGATTTAAGTAAAATTTTTAATTTAGTATAACCAGGATACAGAGTAATACTCAATAAATAGCTATAACTCTAATTTTTTAATATGATGAATGTAACTCTGTCATTATAATAAACATCAGGAATGTTACCTTCAGATGACTTTACTAAAACAGAGACAATATAAAGAACCTAGGGATTCACAACCACCAGATGTAATATGTGCACTTTGATTAGATCATGATTTACATAAAAACTATGAAACAGAGTTGGGAGATAATTGCAAAGATTTGCAAATGAACTGGATATTAGATAATGGGGAATATTTATGAATTTTCTTAAGTACAACAGACATCACAGCTATAAGGAAGAATCTCTATATACCTCCCCCCCCAAAAAAACCTTAATTCTTAAGACATGCATACTGAGTAATTTAGGCGTGAGATCGCTGCAATTTACTTTGAAATGATTAAATAAATAAAACAGGTAGATGAATAGAAACATAAAGTCGTTATTGAAAATTTTTAATAATTGAATCAGATGGTACATATTTGTTGTATTCTTTCAATTTTTAATTATGAATATATTATGCACATTCTCAACATATGAAAAAGTTGACATAAGAAACGTTTACAATGAATAACCAGCAGCTGTCTCAGGCATACTTTTGGCTAAGGCTGGATTTGCCACTTCGTAGTTGAATTTTTTGACAAGATTTTGAAGAACCAATAAGGTCTGGTAGATTTATGTGAGATTTTTATATGCTTTGGATGCCAGACAAACGCGTTCGAGTTGACGTCCTGCCATGAAAATGCAAGCGCCCACCTCGTGCCCTATTTCCAAGCAAATGGGGAAGCTGGGCCTAATGCCAGTACCATCTAGATGTGTCTCAGGATATAAAAAGATTAAAAATGTTAAGTAAATCTTCTGATCCATCAGGTTTCTTAGACATACTGTGGCAGTCCTCAATACGCAGCAAGATGGCTTTGGGCCTCATAAATGTTACAGTGATTTATGACAGGCCACCAGTTACAGAAGAACCTGACTCTGGCCCTATAGCCTGCACGTAGGACTTCGCTCTGAAAATCACCTCACTGAGTCACCTCCAATGGAGAGGGTGACTCAAGTGCAACAGCTCACCCCAAGTATTTTTTTTAATTGATAACTTGGATTGGCCATTAAGCATTATCTATTTAAGTTGGAAAGTCTGATGAACACAATGGTTTTGATTTTAACAGAACAAACGCAAAACAGATCATACATTTGCGCACCTCTTACGGCTATCCCCACTCTATCATAATGGAATAAAACCACAACTATAATTTTTAACTATCAAAAAAACGTTACCCGCTCTGATTTTACACTGGTGACAGGAGACAGCCTTCAGCACTCCCCGCACAAACACGGCGCCAGGACTACTCAGCCTGAGTCAGGCGGCCCGGAAAAGGACCAAGGGCTGTTAAGAGAACCCCAATACAAAGTCCCATAATGTTTTGTTTTTTTGTTTGTATTTTTTAACTTATCTTTATTGTTGAATGTATTACAGATGCCCCCCCCTTTTCCCCCATACTGTTTTTAACTGGACGTTTTCGTAGCTGAAATAACTAAGGCACAGCTGTGATGATGCCCAAAGCCCCTGCACATTCCTCCATCAGTCTTACCCTCCTCTGTTGCAGGGACTTGTCTGTTCATCTGTCTCCAACAGACAATTGTGCTCCATGAAAATGGGTCATTTGCCTTATGGGAGTGTTTTCCCAACACCTGGTGCAATGCTTGTGCATGATAGTATCTCAAGTATTACCAGAATGAACTGTTTCAAGGAGTTTGAATAGAGGGCTATAAACTCTCCACAATTCAAAAATAATGAAAATCAAACAGGAAGACCTAAACCTTCTAGGCTACATAATCCTATCTTTCTATAATGTATGTGGCTGCACTCAGGCAAAACTAAAGATCAGGGTAGATGTAAGGCCAGGGGATCACTTTCATCCCTGCCTAAAACTTTCTATCTTCCATTCATGATAACATTTATTACATCCTTACAATGTACTAGCGACTAATGCCAAATGCCTTATTAGTATAGTATCACTTAGTCACCATAAAAACCCATGGAGCAACTACAATTAATTAGATGGTGACATATTATTTTGATTATGTATTTTCTTCTGAGTATTGCAAATTCCCCTAGATAAATATCCCCTAAGATAAGTTAATTTTCCCATTTGGATCTTATAAGTGAAGATTTGGCAGCAGTGCAGTCAGACCTGGCACTCGACTCTTGCTCAGACTGTCCGTAAACATTCAAAAGCATTAAAACAAAGCATTCTAACTGTACAAAGCCTTAGCACGTGTCATGTAACAACATTCACTACCCTTTAGGAAACAGAAGCAGTGTGTAGAATTGTGGAGATATTGAAGTATAGGCATTAGAGGTTATCATCCATGACAAAAAGACATTAAGATAAAAATTTGAGTAGCTTCCACACATTTTAATAGCCTAAAGAAGCTTTCTATTGCAGATTGAAATCATAATGAACATAGGGAGTTAAGGTATACAAAGTGTCTAAGAAAGGAAATGAATGCCTATGTTACGGAGTTACCTAGAATTAAGAGAGAAATATCTACATCCAGAGCCTATACCCTGGAAACTGCTGTTCACAGTTCACTCCCTCCCTGGTGGTGGAATACAATGCCGGTCAATGAGTCATCATCCTCTCTACTCAGCCCAGTCCAGGCCAGAGCAAAGATGGTCAGAGCTGCTGTATTTGCAACCGAGAACAAGAATGAAGAAAGGTGGGAGGAAAACACAAGAGGAGGAGGGAGGAAAGAGGAGCAAATAGTATTTGTTAGAGTAGTCATCTCATACAGAGGTAGTTTCCTTACCTTAGTCAAACCTTGTCCCAAAAGATTTTCAAATGCTTTCAAATTAAGATATGGACCATTATAGTAGGGGTTACTTTGCGCTTTTCTTCCCAGCCAGTACAATGTTATCAAAACCTTTAAAAAAAAATCCATAAAGACAAAAAGATCAGTCTATTTATAGCAACTAACTGCAAGCTCAATTGCAGCGAGCACTCTAGATAAAAGAGCATCTCTATCTATGGCTGAAAGTAGTATTTTCTTCTAAATTATGGGAAGAAAAAGGGTCATTAAAAAATGTTATTTAGTCCAGCCAGTGTGGCTCAGTGGGTGAGCATCGACCCATGCACCAAGAGGTCACCAGTTTGATTCTGGGTCAGGACACATGCCCAGGTTGTGGGCCCAACCATGCAGGAGGCAGACAATCAATGTTCTCTCTCATCAATGTTTCTCTCTGTCTCTCTCTCCCTCTCCCTTCTCCTCTCTCTACAATCAATAAAGGAAAAAAAAAATGTTATTTATTCTTCCTAGATTTCTGTCCGAGCATGTTCTCAGACCAAAAGCCTAGACCCCAACATGTATACTAGTACAAATGAAGAGGGAAAAATTTTATAAGAGAAAAAATAATTAAACTTTTAAAGCAATCAATATCTTTCCAACAAGCTTAGAAAATGGACACTTAAAATCAGTAATTCTCAGGTTTCTTATTACTGGGCTCTTATGTTTTTAAAAAGCTGTCACATTATTAGAAATTCCTGCAATACATGCAGAATATTATAGATATTACATAAGTGCACATTGAACAATTACCTAGAGTTCTTAAATATCCCATGCTTTTTTCTTAAAGTTTGATCTGGTGGCTTCTGACTTACTCCCTTAAAAATCCTGATGTGTGTTCATTCCCCTTTACCACATTACTAACATGTAAGAAACCACTTTCTAAGTTTAAACTGTCCTCTTATTACCATGAAGACAGAAAATATGTTTTAACCATATTTTAACATATATAGAGTTGGTTGGTTTCTAGCAAAAATGTCATTAGTAAAAGGATACAGAGCATATCAGATATTTTTAGGTCCCACTATCTTATTATAGAACAAGTAAAAAACCATTAATAATATTCCATTAAACATAGCTTACATTTTTCACTCTCCTATCAGTCTCTTCTTGCCTGTAATGTAAAAAGAGGAAATATCTATCAACATCTAAGGACTTTAAATTATTAATTATTAACTGAAGCCCATTTTTTTCTACAGGTTTATGAATATTAATACCACATTGGAGTTCAGAAACCTCAGACTACATGTTATCCATGAGAAAAACGTTTCTATGTTCATTGATTTTATGAATTATAATGATCAGTTTCTACTAAAAGGTTGTATTTTTCTCATTATTGTACTCATTATGATCTGGTTTCTAAAATGTATTATTTGCATTTATTTTAAATAATGCTTAAACCCTATCAAAAGGGAGAAAAAAAAGTATGCTCATGGCAGAAAAAAGAATCAGGAAACAGGAGAAGAAAAAGGTAGTTTTGCACTGAATCCTCTTTTCCATTTTCACATGGGTTTTTCACCAAAGTTCCCAAGAGCAGATGGCTCAGAGACCAAAGCCCTACAGATACTGAGAAGTAAAGTTTAAAAAATAGCCATGAATCTCCCCCTGAAGAGATTTTGTTCTATTATAATAATCATGGGTGTTTTTTTTACCATACCTGTAAAAGGACATAAAATTTATAAGAGAAGTTAAAAATAGGCCAATCTCACCACAATGTTGACGAAGCAACAACATGAGTTAATTGATTTAGGTTATCCTAAAATAATGTGCTTTCGGTCATCAGAGACAAGCAGGATCACCACGAATTCAGAGAAACTCTAGAAGCCTAAGCTAGATGACTTCTAAGGGGGTTTTTGAATCTAAGAGTCTGTAAGTAGTATACATTGAAGATAAAATATCCACACACATTATGTGTAAGGCATATAATAGAACACATATAAGACAAATATAAGACACATATAAGAACGCAGAAAGACAAAGAACAGGGGAAGAAAATGAGCACACACATTTAATTTATCTTTCAAAGAATCGATGAGATAGCGATGACCATTCCTTTCCATAAAATAAACTTGAACTGAAATGAATGTAAGAACAACAATGCATCTCTTATTTACCCCCAAAACAGCATATTAAAAATAAAATTTAAGCCCGGCCGGTGTGACCCAGTGGTTGAAACAGAAGCAGTGTTTCAACCAGTGGGGGGCATGCAGGAGGTGGCCAATCGATGTTCTCTCTCATCAATGTTTCTCTCTCTCATCAATGTTTCTCTCTCTCTCTCTCTCTCCCTCTCCCTTTCTGTCTCTCTAAAATCAATAAAGTAAAAAGTTAAATTAAATTAAAAATAAAAAAATAAATAAATAAAATTTACAAGCTCTCACACTACTGTGAAAATAGAAATTGGTACAACTACTTAAACTTTTAAGCCACTCAGTAGTGACTATTCAAGTTGAATATCTGCATATTCTATGACCCAGTAATTCCACTCCTAGGCATATACTGAACAGAAATGCTTACATTATGTTCACCTTAAGTCATATATAACAACGATTGTAGAAGTACTACTTAGAATAGAATTGGAAGCTACACATTTCTTTAACAGTAGAATGAATAAATTATGCAATATCCACAAAATAAAATATAACACGGCAATTAGAACAGACAACCCACAACTGCATGCAACCATCTGGTTCAACCTCACAAATGGGAAACCCAAGAATCCAGACCCAGCGAGCCAGGCAAAGCAAAGACAAGGTGTCAGGAGTCAGGATCGTGGTTACCTTTGTGGGCAGAAGATGGTGGAAGTGATTGAAGAAATGTGGGGGTTTTTAGGGTACTGAAAATTTCTTGTATTTTAATCTTAAAGGTGACTACCCAAGTGTGTTCCATCTCTAAAGTCTTTGAAGTGTGCACTTACAATATGCACCCTTTTCCGTATGTACATTATAATTCAAAAAAGTCAATCAATAGAATTCCACAGCCCAAGAGCTCAAATTATAGTTTATCTCGTGAATAAAAAAGAAAATCACCTTGTAAAAATTAATATTTAATTTTGGAAGTAGTCAATGGGGGGGCAAAACAATCACTAGACACTAACAATGAAAAACAGCACACAGAGTTGTGAAATATATAGCTTCTTTTTTAGATAATGACTAACACACCCACCTCAGATATTAAATTAGCCAAAGCACAAAGGAATAAGTAACACTCATTGCAAAGAATATACTAGGCAGAAAAATCACTACCCTGTTAGGAGTAGGATGATTTCTGTTGAATGTCATTATAAGCACACTGAGGGCAGAAGGAATAACAGAGCGTTCTTGAACCCCAGACTTTCCGCAGCCCTCTATAAAGGTTTTTAATCCAACACACTCATTTACTACTTGCTTTTTATTATGATAAAGCAATCTCTGTAAATACAAGGGATAGCCTATTCTGTCATAAACAGGCACAATAATCAGTGAACTTGGCACTCTAACTTTTCACTCACTTTACATTCCCTTCTAAATATGAGCATTTATAACATGCTCTTGAACATAATGATACAGAGGCCAGCCAAATTAGTGTCCTATCACTGAAATGCAGTGCCAGGAATTCAAGTAGTCAATGATTTGCTGGAGTCATTAGAGGCCACTCTGACACACAACAAACACACCCCGCTGTGTGGAAGGCGTAACCAGGCAGCTCCGCCTGCTGTGGCCAGGGCACCAGCCCAGGGCCTTTTAAATAGAAAGAGCACAAGGGGGTGGGGAGGCTCATGGTAACGCAAGACTCTCCTCGAGCCAGCCAAGTTACTGCCCAACTCATCGGAACCAAAATTAAGGTAGCCTTATTTCCAAAGTTGCCTAATTCCTCCATCACAAATATTTCAAGAGTTGACTTAGCAAAAACACCATGTTTAAGACCATGGGCTTTGGGTCAGATCTGGGTCCCACTAACTGTGTTTGTCTTGGCAACTGACTTGATTCTCAAAGCTTTAGTTCCCTTCTGTAGAAACTGGCGATAAGATCCTCTAGTTCCACACATTAGGAGGAAATGCACACAGGTATTTAGCCGAGTCCCTACACTCACGGCAGGTGCTCACCAGGAAGCTGTTATTACCACTAAGCTATGTGAGGACAGGGACCATCTTCTTCACCAAGCCACCCACAAAGGCTTCCTAGAAAAGCCATGCTGGACCCCAGTATTTAAAACTGCAGCCAGCTTGCCTGACACTCCCATCTCTCATCACTGCTTTAGTTTTGTATTTATTACCAGGTATTGCAGGCATTCATTTATTATCTGTCTCTCCTCTACCAGACCTAAAAGAATTTTCGTGGTTTTGTTTACTGCCATATCCCAAGTGTTTTTTTGTTTTTTTGTTTTTTTTTTTTAACCTCACCCGAGGATATTTTTCCATTTTTTGTACAGATAGAGTGGGAGGGAGAGAGAGGAAGGGAGAGAGAGAGAGAGAGAAACATCGACGTGAAGGGACACATCGAGTGGCTGCCACCCACACGACCAACCAGGGCCGGGGACAAACTGCAACCGAAGTACGTGCCCTTAGCGGGAACCGAACCCGGGTCTCTCCGGACCGCAGGCCGACGCTCTAACCGCTGAGCCAAACTAGCCAGGGCATCCCAAGTGTTTTTAAGACAGAGTCTACCACCTGGTAAGCATCCCACGAGTCAACCACAGGTCTGGCGAAGAGCAGCCAAGCATTCAGATGTTCATGTACAAGTTACCCAATGCCACAGAGCCAGATCAAGGATAGAGAGAGATAGAGGACGATATCCTCCAATATGGCGAAGCTTCATAGAGTCTGAAACAGAATCCCACTTCTCTTATTATGTTCCTCTCCCATACTTGGTACACCATTTTCCCCCTCAAAGTACCGACTTCCCTATTTGTAACTCTGCAAGGTCCAATCTCCTCCTGTTCTGCCCCAGTATCAGAATCCCCTAAGAACTGAAATCTCTAGGCTCCCAATGTATCTTTCCTTCTCAAATCCCAGCTCCCAACTTGTCCAAGTCAACTTCTGGCAAGATCAGTTATCTTATCAAACCATCATCCTAGGAAACATGTGACTAAAAACTCATGCTGGAATTTCTGATAGAGTAGGAGTATTTTTGCCCCAGGTACCATGAGAAGTTTGGCTTCACCTGCCACCACCCAAAGCTTCCCTGGCTAACAAGGAATCTGGAATGCCATACGGGATCCAAGTATAGCTTCCCACCCCACCCAGTTTCCCCCCTGCCAAACATAGTCATCCTTTCTATCCCTAATCCTATAGTCCCTACAGTCCCTTTTCCTTGACCCAGAATAAGCCTCCATTTTATTCCTCAGAAAAAAATGCAATTCATCCAGTGACTATGTCCCCAGGCATCCACTTCCTGAGGCTACTTCCCAGCTTAAGGCGTGGATTCTTCCTAGGGATCCACCCCTTCTAGAGTTGGTTCTAGCCCTACCCTGCCCTTCCCTGGGTGGCACCAGCTGAACTGAATGTTGTGTCTTGGGAAACAGGGTTGGTGTGTGAGAAGCTGGGCTCAGGAGCCACTTGATCCCTCTCCAAGCCACTAAGTAAGCTCTACCCTCCAGTTGTTGCTTATGAAATCAGGCCACCTGTTCACAACTTTTTAAAAATGTCAAGAAATGGCATTTGAATGATGATTTCATACGCAGTTGCAAGTAGAAAAAGTGTGTGGACAGCATCTGCTTTAAAGCTGTCAGATGCATATGGGGTAAGGGCGGAGCCTGTGTGCGGCAGTGGGAGACCACGGAGACCATTCAAAGCAGATGTTCTCCTCATGACCTCGGTGGCTCCATTTACATACGAAACAAGACAGTCCGCCTCCAACTGGACAGAAAGAAGGGATTCCGAGCAACCCTCAGGATGCTAAGTGAAAACTCCTAACACTACTTACTATGTGTGAGAAAAAGGCCTGTTTTTATTCCAAATGCAGAAATCAAAGAAGGATATTAGGACTATATTAGATAATGGCTCCTTTTTCTATCAAGTTCTATTTTCTCATAATGAAGCTCCTCTATTACAGTATTTAACAAATTCTTTTTTTTTTTTTTTTAATTTTTTTTTTAATCCTCACCCGAGGACATTTTTTCCATTCTTTGTACAGATAG